GGGGTCAGTGTGTGTCTGTGTGGGGCATTGTGTGTCTGTGTGGGTCAGTGTGTGTAAGTATGGGTCACTGTGTGTCTGTATACGTCTTATTAATATTATATATGTTTTGGGGTGTTTTATGGTTTATTCTCTATACCTCTAGTGCCTGGGAGATAATTAGCTTAAAGGGACACTACAGTCTCCAAATCAACTTTAGCTTAAGGAAGCAGTTTTGGTGTATATATCATGCCCTTGCAGTCTCACTGCTAAATTCTCTGCCATTTAGGAGTTAAATCAATGTGTTCATACAGCCCTAGGCACACCTCCCTGCATGTGTCTTACACAGCCTTCCTAAACTCTTCCTGTAAAGAGTCATCTAAAGTTTTCACTTCCTTTATTGCAAATTTTGTTCAATTTAGAATTTCTTATCTCCTGCTCTGTTAATAACTTGCTAGATCCTGCAGGAACATCATGTATGTAATGAAAGTTCAATTTACAAAGCAAGAGATAAACCCTTTTAAAGTAAGCTACATCTGAGTGAAAATGAAACCATTTTGTTTTCATGCCAGTTGTGTGAGTCACAGTCATGGAAGGTGTGGCTAGGGCTGTATAGACAGAAACAAAAGTGATTTAACTCCTAAATGACAGAGAATTGAGCAGTAAAACGTCAGAGGCATGATCTATACACTAAAACTGCTTCATTAAGCTAAAGTTGTTTTGTTGACTATAGTGTTTCTTTAAGCAAAGTACACTCAGTTTTCTCCCAAACACAGAGACGTCTGGGCGTGTTTTACTATACTTTGCTGGAGACTCCATGCTGGGGGTCTGTGTATAAAAGTGGGGAATCTGGCAATAACAAGGCATTCCAGTTGTACCCTTCATTAAGTCTCAACTGATGTTTGGGTATGCGAACGATGAAGCGCTTGTTTTTGTCCTTGACCTGCTTGGATTTCGGGAGAGTACGAATTAGAGTACTATGCGAATGGGCTATAATCACTTAACCCTCTAACACAAGCATGTCAAACTCAAAGGCTAACATGGGCCAAGTAAACAAGGTTTAAGTTTATGTGGGCCGCAAAAAAACAAAAACTTGAAACGTAGGTTTATTTTGAAAAGTACAGCACCTCCATGCAGACCCAACCTAATACACTGACCCCTCCCCCCATTCTAATACACTGCCCACAAATCCAATACATTGCCCCCAAATTTAATACACTGCCCCTCCTCATTCTAATACACTGCCCACGAAGCCAATACATTGCACCCAAATGCTCACCCAGTCTCCACTCCTTCAAAAAATCATTAAAAACCCACTTCTTCACGAAAGTGTATCAATTAAACTGTTAATAGCTCCTGACTGATTCCTCTTCTGCAACTACCACTAGTCTAATACTACCCTTACCTTCTGTCACTTTACCCCACTCCCTCTAGCATGTAAGCTCATTGAGCAGGGCCCTCAACTCCTCTGTTCCTGTGTGTCCAACTTGTCTGGTTACAACTACATGTCTGTTTGTCCACCCATTGTAAAGCGCTGCGGAATTCGATGGCGCTATATAAATATCATAATAATAATAATAATGGTTGTTAATTTGGCCAAGTGGGTTGCATTAATTGGTCTTCTTTACAAGATTATCACTGTAGATTGTTCATCTCATAACCACGAACTTAGAAGTTCTATTTGAAACAGAAATGAAAGTTATTGGCTTACCAGGTATATGTGCAATTTTCCATACTTGCAGCCATGCTCCCAAGTGATCCTTAGTCACGTCTGTATTTATCAGCAGACTGAACTCTGCACACGTGTCAAATTGTTGATTTAATCCAGAGAAAAGTGTTTAAAGCCTGTTTAACTGTGTGGTTCTCCCTCCCTGATTAAATAAGCGCTGCTGCATTTCAATTACAATTCAAGACTTTGCCTTACATAGTTCATGGTGTCGTGTCACTTGGGTCGGAGGGCTAGGGCTGATTTTGAGTTTTTTTTTAAGATTCAGAGTTTCTGCTCTATTAACATTTAGGCAGACATAAAGGAGCAGATCATACCTTGATCATAAATGAGTTTCATAAATGAGTTTTCATACCAGATCATAATGAGTTTATTTTCCTGGCACTATGGTGGTCCTTTAAAATTATTATCCCCTATGCAATTTTCATACCCTTTCTTTTTGTTTTAATTTCCTGACTGACCTTTCTATTACTATTAAACTACGTACACATCACTATTTTTCAGTCTCATGTGATAACCTTTGTTAGGGTTACGTATGCATTGGATACTTAGGCGGGTACACAGAAACCTGAATGAATTATAGAGCTGGTGAGCATGGCAGGAGTTACACTCATTTTCACTGAAATTCCAACTCAAGCAAAGGATATACATAAGGCATACAATATATGTAGATGCAGTTAAGAGGAAAAGGCCATCTTCTAGTGTTGTGGTGTATGAAGATAGGCAGGGCATATCACTAAGCCAAGAAAAATTAAAGGACCATTATAGGCACCCAGACCACTTCAGCTTAATGAAGTGGTCTGGGTGCCAGGTCCATCTAGGGTTAACCCTGCAGCGGTAAACATAGCAGTTTCAGAGAAACTGCTGTGTTTACATATGGGTTAATCCAGCCTCTAGTGGCTGTCTCATTGACAGCCGCTGGGGCGCTTCCGCGCTTCCCACTGTGATTTTTTACAGTGAGAAGACGCCAGTGTCCATAGGAAAGCATCGCGAATGCTTTCCTATGGACTGATTGAATGCGCGCGCCGCTCTTGCCGCTCATGCGCATTCAGCTGATGACGACCGAAGGAGGAGAGTCCCCAGCGCCGAGGGAGCCCGGCACTGGAGAAAGGTAAGTGTTTAACCCCTTCCTCCAACTTCAGCCCGGCGGGAGGGGGCCATGAGAGTGGGGGCACCCTCAGGGCACTATGGTGCCAGGAAAATGAGTTTGTTTTCCTGGCACTATAGTGGTCCTTTAAGCAGACAAGCAGCTTGAAATGGTCAGTAATAGCAACTGGAATAGGACCTAGCCCCAGAGTGACAAAATTACAAAATAAAACTAAGGACATAGTTGCCAGATTGACACCCACCTGCCAAAGCCTTGGAACTAAAATATGTTTATCCAGATTCAGTTAAACATACAGTGTATATGAATACCAATAAACTATGCTATGGTAGAAGTAATGCAACCAAGTATTTTCAAACTATCTATTTATTGTGGGGGCAGTATATCAAAATGTACAGATTCCGTGGTCATGAATATTATATCTGGAAAGTGATATTTTGTATATGGCTTAGTACCTATTGTATAAGGTTTCCCTTATATTATGCAGACAGATCTGTAGGAAACACTGGATTCATTAATTTAACACTAATAGTGAAACTAAATAAATTCATAGACTTTGAGGTCCCTTGATTCAAATGCTATGTTGTCGGATTTAAATTAATTCTGCTGCTCCAAGTATTCTGCTTTAACTTATTTATTATAATGTTTGGTGTTATGGTAGGTTTCTTGCTTTTTAGTAGAACGTGACGTAATTTCGTTTGGGTAACTAATTGGTCACATGCTGCAACTAGGCTCAGTTATGTAGAAGATAGTATTTGAATCAGGGGACCTCTAAGTCTGTGAAATCATTTCCTAAATAAAGGTTGCATTTTAATTCTGAGGTTTTTGGCAGGTGGGTGTCAGTCGGCCCATCATTGAGCTCCCGTTGTTAATTACTGATGGGAAGAACCCATATTTTATTATGCTCCTAAATAAAAAGCACAGGGTTGGCAACAGGGCCGGACTTGGAACTAAAAGCAGCCCTGATTTTTTTTCTAAAACAACCCACAATAATCTGTCGCGCCAGCATGGAGTGCAGGTATAGAGGTGGAAAAGGTAACTTAAAATTGAAAACTATTACTCCAATGCCAAAGAAAGCACTCATAGGGCTTCAAAATAAAAAAGAGGGCAGATTTATTTTAAGCAGACGTGCATTTGCATATAATCAAAGTTCCAGTCCAACTACCTTGACATAGTAAGGAAAGTTTAGTAATGACAAAGCAATGGTGAGTGCTGTTACAAAGCTGTACAAATGATGTTAACCTTATTTTGGAGCCCTATGCGTGTACTCTTCACTTTGGCTGATATCATCAATCTTGAAGAGTCTTTTTTGTCATAATGCTCTCTGTGGGAGTGTGGCAATATAATCTACATTATATAGCTGAGTTAAAATAGTAACAGTGGTGGAGAATCTGCAGAGTTGTCAAGAGAATTACCAGGCATGTACAAATTTCTCATAATCAGTTCATATAATTGTGTTGCATCAATGTATCCTTGTCAGTGTTTCACAAATATGTTGTACAGTAGACTTCTGGATAGGATAAGAGACATATAGAGGACTAGCTATTGACTCAGGGCTAGGTGTGAGTCACTGCATGCAGTCTCTTTTCATAGTGATTCTTAGCAGGGTGGCATGCAGCATGCTTGGCACAATATTGGTGGACACTGAGTCTTTGGTTCTGTTTGTTCTATATTGTTATTGTTACACTATGTTCCTCGAAAAACTACATTGTTCAGCATTATCTCAATACATGAGTACATTGTATCACTTCTTGGAGGAGAGTTAGCAAGGCAAAAATAGGTGTTATTGTGTAGCAAGGCGCTAAATAAAGAACAATCACTAGCAGGGGTAGGCAACCGTTGGCACTCCAGATGTTGTGGACTACATCTCCCATAATGCTCTTGCACCCATAACGCTGGCAAAGCATCATGTGAGGTGTAGTCCAAAACATCTGCAGTGTAGAAGGTTGTCTACGCCTGCCCTATGGAGACCAATATAATGAGCAGTTTGCACCCGAATTTGTACCGTTAACCCCCGGATTAATCTCTGCTAACACCTTCCATTAGAGGTAGCAGCGCCTGTACATGGGTCTTGCAGAGGATTGCCCTGCCAGTTGTATGAAGTCAGTGGACTCTGATCTCTTGCAGGTTAATGACAGCTCTGGTTTTAGTAAAACCTGCAGTGTGTGTGTTTTCTAAATTCCATTGCAGATTCTCGGATCAGTAATTCGGATTTTTTTTTTTTTTTTTCTCCTATGCGGTTAATGGCAGATTCCTTGCTGTGATAACACTGCTTCTGCAAACTGCCATGAAGTACACCGTCTAATAAAGCAGGCTAGCCGTGCTAGGAGTAGCAGTCCACACGAGCTGCACTGGCCGTGAGAGCCTGTACCTGCCGATTAGTGGACACCTTACTCTGTTGCCTCTTGCTCTAGAGTGGTTTGAGGAAAGTTACAGTTTTTCCATTCTCTGCCTCCTCCCCACTCGGTAAAATGTAACCAGCCCCAGGATACATTTAATGATCTGCTGTGTGAAGTATCTTGCCATTCTTCAACTTCTTCCTTAGTAGAAGGACTTCCAGTCAGTGCTCAGTGAGGGTGAGTAATAATGTTTCTTGTAAAGGGTGGGCTACTAAATCTTTTATCAATTTGTATGTGTAACTAGCATATGACTTGTTTCCTGTAGTAACACTTTACAGTTGCCCATGAGAATTTAAATGATGAGAGACAAAATGTTTATGCTATCTTCTGTAGTCTGTCTTTGTAAGACACTGTCATTAATTAGGGACTCTCTCTTACACCCACCCTAACATTTGGAGTCTGATACTCGAGCTCCCCTTAAGTTAAAGAATCTCCAGAATTCACCCATCTAGGTAAATACCATCTTTAGTCCCCAGTTCTCTAACTAGAGTCTGTAGCATTCACCCCTTTACACAGGGTTCTTCTTTAGTACCCCTCTCTCAACCCTTGTGGTTTTTGATCGTTACTCACAGGGACCCAAATGATGAACTTTTTAGAAGGATTGCAACATATTTAAAAGTAAATCAGCGATCCATTCTACAAGTGTTATATAATAAACATTAGATTATTTTTTGCAAAATGGCTTAACGAGGCTCTTTAAAAACAGGATGTCTGGATTGCACTGGAGAAGGCAATGCCACAATGGTAAACAGTTAAATATGGGCATTTGCCTGGGGTATGATCAACATGATGTGCTTATCCCAAGTATTGGAGATCCAGGCACTTGGGGCAAAAATAAGCCCTGAATCAGGGGTTAAGAAAGCCTGCCTTAGCCAGAGACCCTAACATTCACCCATCAAGCTAAGAACAATTTATCATATTCTCCCCTTTTTATTAAAACTCGATTTTACACTCACTTTGCTAGTTGACTCCAGTTACTGACTTTTATATTGTGGTTATTCCAATTTGCATATTTGCCTTAAAAAAAAACTCCAATGTAACCAGCCTCAGGAAACATTTAAGGAAAAGCACTTAAGCTTTTCTAGATTGTAAACTCTTTCAAACAGGGTCCTCATCCACATATTGTTCCTGTAGCATTTTGTAATTATCTTATAGATGATAATAATAATAATAATGCGTGAAGAGTATGTCCTCTTTTTGTACAAAAAGGACAGATTTCAATAGAAATTGACATTTTTATAAATTAACCTTGTTACATTCCCTGGCTGTTGATAAGACAACCGGTTTGGTTATTTCCTGGTCGTTTAGCCCAGTGGAACTAAACTTAAAGGGGCACTCCACTGTCCAAATGGAAAAATATAAAATCAATAACAATCACTGTTTAGTAGATATAATCCAAATAAAAACATGCATACATTTAAATATGCATTTTTTCATTGGAGTTATATCTACAACAGTTTGCAAAAGCTACAGACCTCTTGTCTTCTTTCTTTGCAAGCCCTCCCCTTCTAATCTCGCCCAGACTTTCTATGGCTGTCCAATCACAGACTTCCCAATGCAACTCAATGAGAAGTCTTTGCAAGGCAGATACTGTGAACAATTCACTGTCTCTTGTGTTTAGCTCCACTGAGCTGACTAACCCAGGAAGCAACAGGACCATTGTTCTGCTTGAAAACCAGGGGGCGTAACAAGGTTAATTTATAAAAGTCCAATTCCTATTCATATCTGCACTTTTTGTATATTAATAATAATAAAAAAAGAGGACGCACTCTTCATACATAAAGCATTTCAGCAAGCTAAAGTGCTTTTGTAGTCCAGGGTATCCCTTTAAGAGGAAGGCAATTTTCCAGAGCACTTGTCTTGCAAAGACTTCTTATTGAGCAGCATTGGGACGTTTGTGATTGAGGATCTATAGAAAGTCTGAGCAGAGTTAGAAGGGGAGGGCTTGAAAAATCTGCATACAATGGATTTGCAGCTTTGGAAAGCTGTTTTTACATATACCCTCAATGAAAATAATGCAGTATTAAATTAATATTTTTGTTAGGGGTATATTATTATTATTATTATTATTATTGCCATTTACATAGCTCCAACAGATTCCGTAGCGCTTTACAATGTTATGAGAGGGGGGATTTAACTATAAATAGGACAATTACAAGAAAACTTACAGGAACAATAGGTTGAAGAGGACCCTGCTCAAACAAGCTTACAGTCTATAGGATATAAACAGAATAGTGATTTAAAAAAAAAAAGTTTTAGTTTTTTTTCATTTGGGGAGTGTATTGCCTCTTTAATGTGATTTAGCTGTGTTACACTAGCTTACGTATGGTGTTTTAGTTTCTCAACAGACAGAAGTATACTTTGGCGGGAACTAGCCACTTTATTTACACAAGATTGCCTAATTATTGCAATATTTCAAAGATTCCACAGGCGTTATGATGTCATAATACTTTCCTGTGATTCAGGATGTTGTATTTTGAATTGAGAAAACTGAAAGCACTCAGTGTATGCTTGTACTTGAATAACACACTATATTAACATACATTCCACCAATCCCTATAGGACACCAATTTCCCGCTACTGAACAGTTCATACTGACTGCAGAGAGGACCCTTTGCTTTTGGTATTTGGTCTCTTTTACTTTTCATCATAATTGGGAAGTCTTCTTTATATTCTTAGTGTTATTGAAAATCTCAGTAAATACTATAATACAAAAGAGTAGGTAATATAAAATTCTAAATGATACTCTAATGCACAAAAACTTGTGTAGTGGGTCTTGGTACCAAGCTGTTGTCCCTGCACAGTGACAAATGTAAGTATTGCCATTTGTGAGTAACAGCAACGTGTACACAGGGCCGGTGCAAGGATATTTGCTGCCCTAGTCAAAAGAAAAATGTGCTCCCCCCCCCCATGTGATATTACATTGCCCCACACATATGATCTGCCATATGAACTAACGCAAGTGCTGCACACAGTGTGTGTTTACATTAAAAAGCCTGCAGGGACCAGCTATAGACACCAGAACCACTTCATTAAGCTTCAATGGTTCTGGGGACTACAGAGTCCCTTTAATGTGAGGTAAATTAGAGATTAGTGCACTAAAAATATACTAGATTGCCTACTTACCACCAGATGAGGACAAGAGGATGATGATGGGCTCAGGCTGCAGTCTGGCTCCACTGGTCTGGTGTAGAACAGGCTCTCTGGAGGCTGTTTGTAACTGTGGTAACAAAAGTCAATGTTCTGGGGGAACTTGAAGCAGCTCCATTTTTTGGGGCCCTTTACACAGCTCAAGGTCTGGGCCCCAGGGCCTGACAATGAGTATGCCCGTAAGGCCCACCCATAAGTCCACCTACATGTTCCACCCATGAGTTCGCTCACAGGGAGTGGAGTGTGTAGGGGATGTGTTATGTGTTATAATAGAGAATCTAATATGTGTGCTTATGGAATGTAATGCATAGGGATACCAGTTTGTGTAGGTGATGCAGTGTGTGTGTGTGTGTGTAATGGATGCAGTGTGTTTTTGTGTAAGGGATAGAAAGCAGTGCGTGTTTGTGTGTAAGGGATGTAAGGTGTGTTTCTGTGTATGTAAGGGATGCAGTGTGTGTCTGTAAGGGGTGCATTGAGTGAGTGTAAGAGATGCATTGTGTATCAGTGTGTGTTTCTGTGTGTGTAAGTGATGCATTGTGTGTTTCACCCCCTCCCATGGTGGTCTCTCCTCCACCCCCCCACCTGCCCACCTCCCTTAGTGGTCTCTCTTCATCCCCCTCTCATAGTGGTCTCTACTCCACCTCCCTCCCTCCCATAGTGGTCTCTCCTGCACCCCGATCTCCCTTAGTGGTCTTTCTTCACTCCCCCCTCCCATAGTGGTCTCTCCTCTACCCCCCACCTCCCTTAGTGGTCTCTCCTCTTCCCCCTCCTTCCCGTAGTGTTCTCTCCTCTATCCCCCCCTCCCATAGTGGTCCTCCTCTACCCCCCTCCCATAGTGTGGTCCTCCCCTACCCCCACCCTCCCATAGTGGTCTCTCCCCTACCCCCCACCCTCCCATAGTGGTATCTCCCCCCTCCCTTCATGGTCTACCCCCGTTCTCCTCACCTCTTCCCCTACTCTGTGTAGCGTGGCTGAGCTCCGGTCCGGTCCCTGGTACACTTCCTGTCAGTCCAGCTGGGTATGGATGCTCCGGTACCGTGGACCGGTGCAGAGCTCAGCCACGCTACACTGAGTGAAGAGCTCTATAGCGCACTCAGGCAGCTGCAGCATGAGGGGGGGCGGCGCTTTTCCTTTAGAACTGCCTAAGTCGCCTATAAGATGCCCTGCGTGTACATTGTGTATGTCTGTCAGTGAGTGTGCATCTAGTGGCTGTCAATCAGACAGCATCAAAAGGCACTTCCTAGTAAGTAAAGCGTAAAAAAATCTACAGTCTTCATGTTTGGTGTCATAATGACACTGAACCCAGTTAAGTCTTCCCATAGAGAAGCATTGTAATGCTTCTCTATGGAAAAAAAAATGTATTGGCACAGTGCAGCAGTTGTCATTCATGCACAGTAAAATCCTTGTTGCTTCTCTGTGGAAAAGTATTTGATTGGCCAAGATTATCTGCCTGGATGATCTCAAACAGAGGAGGAGCAGCGGCCATGGTGAAACAGTTAGGTATCTAGATGAAAGTGGAGTATAACTTATTCACCTTTTAAACTTTCTACTGGGGGCCCAGACACTAAAGTTAGAGTGATCTTTTCAATTAAAACATGATGGTAAGTGCAGTACCTCAGGGATCTACCCTGGGTCCATGTTTATTTAATCTATATACAATGGTACCTCGGTCTACAAATCTAATGCGTTCTCCGGGACTTTTCTTATTAGGGAAAAATTTGTAAACCGAAACGCGATTTCCAATAGGAATGCTTTGGAAAACCAATTAATCAGAAAAAGTCAAAAAGAGCTGGCATGGAAACCAACCCACAATGCAGAACACACAGTAAAAGGCATGCAAATGACAAAGCTCAGCTCCCTACCTTTCCACAGCTTGAGAAATGCACCCAAAAAGTTCCAAAACCACTGCAAAAAAATTTCCAGAATGGCTCCAAAACTGGATGCAAAAGCCGCTCTAACACCTCTTCCACCTCCACGTCCTACCCACAGACTTCAGTTTGGGGAAACTTGCTTTGTATTGCGAAAACAATTTGTAAACTGTGGCATTATTTTCAATGGATTTTCATTTGTAACCAGAAAATTATGTTAACCGAGGCGTTTGTAAACCAAGGTACCACTGTATTAATGTACAGGTAGTTCCCGACTTTACGAACTAATTGGTTCCAAAGCCTAGTTCATAAAGTGAGAACTAATTTCCCATAGACCGCAATGTAATAAACATGGGTTCCGTTCCTGACCAACAAATTTTTCCATTGAAAACCTTATTTATGAAGTACAAATACAAGATGAAAGCATAGCAAATACATATATGTTGTAAGCAGTGGCGTACACATGACCCATGGGGCCCAGGTGCGAAAATTGATCCGTGGGCCCCCCCCCTCCTTCCCCTCCCCCCCGCGGGCCGGGCCGCAACACATGACGGTGGGCACCTGGTCGCAGAGGTTACAGGGCTGCGACCCCTGCGACCGCGGTATGTACGCCAGTGCATGCAGATGCACACACACTTAAAGGACCACTCTAGGCACCCAGACCACTTCAGCTTAATGAAGTGGTCTGGGTGCCAGGTCCAGCTAGGGTTAACCCATTTTTTCATAAACATAGCAGTTTCAGAGAAACTGCTATGTTTATGAATGGGTTAAGCCTTCCCCTATTTCCTCTAGTGGCTGTCTCATTGACAGCCGCTAGAGGCGCTTGCGTGCTTCTCACTGTGATTTTCACAGTGAGAGCACGCCAGCGTCCATAGGAAAGCATTATGAATGCTTTCCTATGTGACCGCTGAATGCACGGGAGGAGAAGAGGAGGATCGAGGAGGAGAGCTCTCCCCCAGCGCTGAAAAGGTAAATTTTACCCTTTTCCTTCCAGTGCCAGGAGGGCACCTCAGGGGATTATAGTGCCAGGAAAACGAGTATGTTTTCCTGGCACTATAGTGGTCCTTTAAAGGACCACTACAGACACCCAGATCACATCAGCTCAATGAAGTTGTCTGGGTGTCACGTCCCTCTAGTTTTAACCCTGCAGTTGAAAACATAGCAGTTTCAGAGAAACTGCTATGTTTCACTGAGGGTTAATCCAGCCTCTAGTGGCTGTCTCACTGACAGCCGCTAGAGGAGCACACTGAACGTCCATAGGAAAGCATTGAGTAATGCTTTCCTATGGGCGGTTTGAATGCGTCAGTGGTCGCATTCGGAGCTGAGAGGCTGAGGGATCCTCATCGCCAAGGGAGTCCGGCGCTGGAGAAAGGTAAGTGCTGAAGACACACACACACACACTTACAGATGCATACACACTAGCTAACAGACACACACATTTACTGACAGAGACACAGTCAGCGACAGACATACATACACACTCACTTACAAAACATACACTCTCATTGACAAACACACACTCACTAACAGACATCAGACTCACTAACACACACACAGTAACACACTCACTAGCAGACACACACACAAACACTCACACTAACTAGCAGACACACACTCTCACTCTAACACTCACACTAACACTCACTAGCAGACACACACACACTAACACTCACTAGCAGACACACACACTAACACTCACACTCACTAGCAGACACACACACTAACACTCACTCTAACACTCACACACACTCAAACACTAACACTAACACGTGTTTTTTTTTTTTAAATTTAATCCCCCCAGCCTCCTTACCTTTTGGAGTGCTGGGGGGATTCCCTGGGGTCCAGTGGTGCTGCTGACCTCAGCTGGCGGGTGGCCGGTCAGGCAGGCGGGAGCGCGAGGGAGCACTCAGTGCTTCCTCTTCTGTTCCCTCGCGCGCCGCGTAGGGATGCCGGCGCCGGAAGATGACGTCATCTTCCGACTCCGGTATCAGTGCGGCGAGCGAGGGAGCAGAAGAGCCTTTCCAGGTGTCTCATTACCCCCTCCCAGCACCTCCAGGTGTCTTATCCCCTCTCCCAGCCCCTCCAGGTGTCTCATTACCCCCTCCCAGCCTTTCCAGGTGTCTTGTTACCCCATCCCAGTGTCTCATTACCCCCTCCAAGCCCTTCCAGGTGTCTGCTTCCCCCTCTCAGTGTCTCATTGGCCCCTCCCAGGCCCCCCAAGCCTCTCCATGTTTATCTTCTCCTGGCCACAAACTCTGCTCCTCGGTCTGCATCCACGGAGAGCCACCGGCACAAAATGTCGTCAAAATAAAATGGCGGCGGGTCCGTGGAGCGTTCGTAAAGGCGGGAGTACATAAAGCGGGAGTACAGAAAGCGGGAAATGCCTGTATATTAAAATCTTAAAGTACTTTTTCACATGGTCATTTGTGCATATGACCAGGGTGTTAGATGACAATTTATCCAAGGAGGTTTGGATAAAACAGGGAATTGAGCAGACAAGTAGAATTGAGATTGGTTATTTTTACTTTTTCCAGGCAGTTTATCTCAATGATGTTAAACTCAAAAGGCAATCAATTGCACAGAGCACCTTCCTTTAACCCCTTAATGACGGATGACGGACCAGATCCGTCATGCGTTAAAATGAACCCCATATCGCCGCGATTGCGGCGATCACAGGTTTAACGCTCCTCCGGTCTTCCTCGATATTCGAGACCGGACAGGAGCACCTGATCGTGCTGTCCCTGCAGCTGTGATCACTCTGACAGGCTGTCAGAGTGAGAACATGTGCTGCAGGGACTCTTGATCTGCCTCCCTGTACTTCCGAGGTCAGTGTGAAGTGCAGGAAGACGGGTCAGTGCTGCTAATCTTCTCCATGTTAAAAAATAAATAAATAAAAGTTAAATCCTACCCTTCTTTCCCCTGCTACATTTTACTGTGCTCTGAATTTTTTTTTTTTTACCCCTGAGGGTTAACTTTTATTATTTTTTAACCCTCAGGGGTTAAATGTATTTTATTAATTAATTTAAATATTTTAAAATCATATATTTAGCTAGCTGGGGTGGGTGGAAGTTATTGGGGAATTTGGTGTTAGGCTAGCTAGGGGTTAATGTTAAAAAGTTTGAAAAAGTTTAAAAAATCCTACAGTGATCAAAATACAGATCACAGTATTATACTGTGATCTGATTTTTTTTTCTAACCATTGACGGTTAACTTTTATTTATTTTTTTTAAACCTCAGGGGTGCAATTTATTTAATTAATTAATTTAAATATTTTAACATTATATATTTTGTTTACTGCCAGTTAATATAAAAAAAGTTTATAAAATTTTTAAGTGTAACCACTAGCACCACCCGGAACCATGAGGCACACCCCCTCCAGTACCCGCCCCCCCCACACACAGAAATACAAAGAGCCAAGACCACCAACCATAACCCCCAACCACCCAAACTGAGAGAACCCCCAGACAAAAATTCCAAAGGACCGACCAGAACCCCCAATCCCGGACACCCTGAAACAAAAACAACGGAACCCAACATAGCCGTTAAACTAGAAAGCAGCTGAAACAGCCAAAGTCCTGCGACCACACAACAAAACCACCACACCAACATCCCCAGAAGTAAGCACAACCACAACGCAACACTAACAAGGGGCACCCAGCACACACATAAACATTAGAAAACCAACAGACAGGAAACCATAAAAGTGGGCCGCAAAATAGAAGCAACACAAGACGACAGCCGCATAACATATTCCAACTCGGACTCACTAACAAGCCAAAAACCCACACAGGTCGACACACTCACTAACTTAACAGGTCACCCCTTACAACATGGACCACACCCAACCCGATAAGCACATAGGAAACAGTAGGTGACTGTAACCTACCCCCCACCCTCCCCTATCTCGGTACCCCTCTTACACCCCCAGACATGACAGAGAGCCAGACAACTCGACTAAACCCGAGCATACGTAATACCTGAACGAAGAAGCAACGCAAAACAGGCAAGAAAATGTACCCCCAAATGCCTGCCCCTACACTCCCACCCAATGGAACAATATTCACCATCATCGCATGACACAATCTATCACGGACACAACACCACGCAAAAGGCTCACACAGACCCAGATACACCAACATAAAGAGAACCTGAATGAATCAGCGAAACAACAGAAACTGTATGTAAATGTACCCTACCCACCTCCCTTCTTTTTTCTGTACCCCACCCAAACCCCAAGGAAAAGTTGAAAGACATGCCACATGATATAGCCTGGTCATATGCTACGTGACAATATGATAACTCTGTAAACCATGTATAACAATTGTATCGCCAACTTTTCCTTTCTGTACCCCCCACTCTAAACGACAAGAAATCTTCAAAATAAAGAATTTATAAAAAAAAAATTTTAAGTGTAAAAAAAAAGTTTTAAGAAAGTTTTAAAAAAGTACAAAAAATGTATACGTTTTAAAAAGTAAACAAAGCTTAATTTAAAAAAAAAAATGCTCATTACCACTACACCTGGAACAAACTAGCAAAGAAATTATACCACGCTAAGGTTCAGAATATGCCTTTTGAATAACTCCGGGGTGTATTCTTTAATAAATAGTATGTGTTTGTGGGGAAGTTTGATTAACCAACCCGCTAAACTACTCTGAAATGAAATATGGACACAGCGTAAAACTTCAAAGTTAGAAACAAACTGAATGGCTGCGTCTCAAATGTGCCCCTTCAGCATCCACATATACCTGGCAAATGTACATACAGGGGTATTGCTGTACTCAGACGACATAGCTGAGCAACATATGAAGTATTATACAGTCGTAGCAGATATAAAGTTTGCAAAATATACTGCGCAAACTCACTTTGTGTGTCAAAAAGTCTGAAAAAATGCTTATTACCACTACACTTGTTACAAACTAGCAGAAAAATTATCCCACGCTAAGGTTCAAAATAAGCCTTTTGAAATACCCTGGGATGTCTTCTTTAAGAAATGGTATGCCTTTATGGTGTAGCTGGAATATGTAGTCTGCTCAAGTGCTCCAAAGTGGGACACGAACGCTTCAAAACTCTCCATGAAAATTCACTCTTAAAAACCTGAACTTGTCACGTCTCTTTTACAGCACTGTAACTACACAAAATAGTGTATAGGTCATACATTGGGCATATTGGTTTACTCAGAAAATGTAACTAAGCATAATTTGGGGTTTTTTATGACAGTGGTACATATCAAGTGTAAGAAATACTCAGCAAAAATGCAACATATATGTAAAAATGCATTTTTTCCCCTCACCACAAACATTGACATAAATTGGTGAAAAAATGGTGACAATTTAAGGCACAATATATGCCATATAAGATACCCCGGGGTGTCTGCTTTATCAAATGAAAGCCCTTTGTGGGGTTATTTGAACAGTCACACTGTTATATGTGTGTATGCCAAAATGGTGAAAAAACACAATTTTACTCCAATATAGACATATAAATGAATTTATTTTGAATTACTTTTTCTAAGCTGGACATATTATGCACACACTATTATTGCCAAAACTTTCCCATTTTTTGGCATTTTTTTAGAATGAATGAGAATTTGTCTATGTATATGTGACATCAAATTAAAGCCCTTTTTGCCCTCTAAAAAAACGATATATAATATATGTTGGTGCAATACATGACAGAGATGCAAATTGCGTTTGAACACAAACAGCAAAAAAAGCAAAAATGGCTTGTGTAATAGATCTGCACATATTGAAAGCTAATATTTTATATATCCCCAAAGAAAACATGCAAAACAAATTATATGTGTATTTTCCTAGGACAAAGTCTTCTAAATTGGTATTTATTTATGGAGTGTTCCCTTAAATGTAAAGTTTCACTGGTTTTCAAGAAGGCAGTATTGATAATAGTATACTTTGTTTTTTTAAAGCACCAACTCATTCCACAGTGCTGTACATAGGTACAATTGATACAAGGTAAAATACAAAGGCACAATACATTTGAGACAATACAAAGTGTGACAGACAAATACAGGAGGAGTCGAGGGCCCTATTCCCGTGGGAACTTACAATTTAGATGGATAGGAGGGGTGAGAAACAGAAGGCGGAGATTGCAAAGTTAAGATTGATTTTAATACAGAGTAAGATGACAGTATTTATTGGTTAAATGGTATGCGTTACAGAGCTGATTGGTAGGCTTCCCTGAATAATAATGTCTTTATGGAGTCCTTAAAGCCTGGGGGTCCAATCTTTTGGCTTCCCCAGGCCACATTGATCTAAGAGGAATTGTCTTGGATCACACATAAAATATATAATATAATTAATTTACATAATAAAATTTTAAAAGCCTTTTTCTTAACCCTTACTAAAAGGTATTTGTTTGTTTATTCTTTTGAATTTACACAATCCTTTCTTTGCGGGCTGAGGACATAAAGAGATAGCTAAAATATACGCCTCCATGTCTGTAATAAAATCATGAGTTTACATCATCTAAATAGTAAAGTCTAGTGATAAATAAATAGTACAGCTAGATAGATCTCTAAAAACGTTAGCTGTGTGTAATATTAGACTTTCCATTCTTTTATATGCTTGACTCTCTCTCTTCAAAACTGTCAAAGGTATCCAGACTCTCTCTGTATTGGCAGAATGCCAGGAATTTGGCTTTCGATTAGACCCAGTTGGCACACTTTGCCTACCCATTTTCTGATTCAATGGACTTTAAAAGCTCAGATTTCTTTAATCCTGCCCACTGCTGTTATGCCTGCATTCTGTTGCTGCTTTTAATACTCCAGGTCTTGGCAGATTTGCAGCAGGTAAATTACATGTTTCAGTTTATTTTATTAATATTCTGCTGTCCAATGAAATACATTTGAGTCAATTATGGCAACTGAATAACCATACTAACAATGGGGTCTGTACACAGTTCTAAGGAACAATGAATTGTCAGGTGTGTTACTTCATATGGGGGTTTACTTAGCTTGCTGTACTTTATTGGTATTGTATTTAGTTGTTTTTGTATATAATACAAAGTAGAGGCACAGAATCCACTAATAACCCTTGACTGACTAAAAGGTCATATTTATGATACAATAAGATATGAAATATTTGTGGATTTCACAACATTTTATACCACCTAGAAAAATAATTAGAAGATGCTTCTGGTCACGGCATACACCATCAATGAGCATATAAGGAGAGAAAAACAAGAATAATAAAGTATAGTAATTTAAAAAAAAATTATTTACTTTTTTTATTGACACAGTAAGAAATGACAGTACAATGTACAATACAGGTTATTATAAATCAGTCCAACATTGTAAATGGATAAATGAATAAAGATGAAGAAATGACATAATGCACAATGAGTGCTAGCCTCATTTTACTTTTTTTTTCTTAGAAAGTATCAGCACCACACCTACAGACATCGGAAATATTTACTAAACAAATATCAAACAAGCCCTTACAGCTTATAAAGGAGAATCATGATATGGTGACTCAGCTAAGGTTCAACACTGTCTCCAAATATTTTAACTGAAATAAAATACAAAACAACAATGAAAGAGAGTCTCGAAAGAGGTTTTATTGTAGGAAAGACAGAGTAGGGTGTTAACTACCTGAAGAACAAATTGGGCTGTATGCAGGTCACATCAGACAAAAGCAAAATATTAGCCCTTCAGGGGTGCACAGGGGTCAATGCTCAACACTGGTATTATTCTCTGGAATTGTAATGACATGTGGAGTTAATTTAATCAACATCAAAATAAAAGCAATAAAAACTATAGCAAATTAAAATAATTGAAACATGAATAAAACCTATTCAGGCTGTAGAGGTAGCGAGTCCCAAGGATTGCAGGAATGGGTCCGCATTTGACAGGGTGTTTAGCTTATAAGGCTGACCACCTTGTTCAACTAGAAGAGCTGTGTTGACACACACTTGTACTGAACATCAGAAGCTCGTAGCTGAGAGGTCACCTCTTTTAAAGATGTACACCGCTGAAGTATTGGTCTGCTGAGGTCAGTGAGTGTTGCTCAAAAACAAATGGTGAGTGGCCTTTAACTGCTGACTTAAAGTTCAGGATGAATTCTCTGGGTATAGAGGTTTTGTTGGTAAGTCTCAAAGGTAGTTGGTAAAGTCCATCCAGTAATAGTCCCTTAGCATGTTTGGGAGTCAAAGTGACAGAGAATAACTGCCTGATAAACTGCGGTAGTTTGCCAGTTTATGGTATCAGGAATCCCCCTTACTTTCGGGTTGCGTTGCCATGCCATATCTTCTAGCTACCCCACCTTAGCACTCAGCGCTGCACACACATTATTCACCTCTTGTAGCTGAACTGCAGCCGAGCCCTGCTTAATTCCAATGTTGTGAATATACTCCTGTGTGGCCCTTTTTCTTCCAGGAAGCATGCTCAGATTTTCCTTTAACATCACCATTTCAGACACAAAGAAGGCCTTGATATCTGTTTTTATCACGTTGAGATCAGTTTTAGTAGCAAATTGAGGTTTGGATTGCCTCAGAGATAAGATTCTACCCTTCCAATCACACCATCAAGTAAACAAAGTGTGCAAAAAGAGTATGCTTTAGTGAGAGATACAGTGAGATGGCTGTGCTTATATTTTTTCAATTGCATCTAAATAGTCTACTCTTTTTGTAATTGCTTATTTTTGCATTCTTGAAAAGAAAATGATTGCCCTTATTCTTTTTAAAGTCTTAGGAAGACTAAGAGAAAAGGCAGTTTACATTGGTGCCTAGTAACACCGCTAGTGGCAGTCACTCAGATGGCCACTAAAGGTGCTTCCTATCTCAATGACGTTCAGCATCTCCATGCTCGTCACGGAGGTGCTCAACATTCCCCATAGAGATGTATTGCTTCAATGCATCTCTATAAAGATATGCTGTGTAGCATTTTGCTACGCATGCGCAATAGCCTTACAATGATTTCATATGGAAAAGCACCGGATTGGGTGAGATCATTGAGAATGGGACTTGGTGTGAGAAAAATTGTATGTTTTAAACCTTTCATCTCCACGGAGAGGTGGGGCGGGCACCTAGACTGCGATTGCTGCACTGTAGTGACAGGAATACATGTTTGTATTCTTGACACAATTGTATTCCTTTAAGCAAAGTTCCATTTTAGTTGTTTAGCTGATTTACCCACATTCCATTATTCAAAATCGTCTCACGGAATGGCAATCTGCCGACATCATGGGCGGAGGAGTAGAAGATAGAAGCACCCAGTTAGAAAAGACAATACATAAAAACAAAGGCAAGTGGCAAGGAGAAGTATAATGATTATGATACATGTGGCACGAGGAAAGAAAAACAAAAGAAAATTTCAATAATCTGTTCTCCAATACCATTAATAAGCAACCTTAAGTGGGCATTGGACATTTTCCTGTGTGCTCTGGGATCAGTGACGCAAATAAGGATTTAATAATAAGGATTAATATTTATTTAATAGTACAGATTTACTAAGTTAGACATAGTCTCTCTCCAGATCTCTTACTGCTCTGCTTCTTCCATCCTCGTGGTTCATGCAGTGGTATTCTTGAAACGGGCAAAACCTGGGACTACATGGCACTTTATTTCGAAAGGCTATGTAGAACACTGAAAGAAGTAGACACGCCACAAAACTTGGATTAATGTATCCTTTTTAAAATATGTATTAAAAAAACAGCACAGACAATAATTTAATGACATAATATAATCCAATTTTAAAACAAACAAACAAAAAAACACAACCTGCACCTAAAATACAGCTTGTTATTGGGTTGTACAGAACATTTCTACTTTAAGGATATACTTAAACTGAGCAGGTCAGTCAACAACTATGTTTCGAGAACTGATTGCAGTAATAGAATTGCACCACAAGTTATTAGGGAACAACTATTCAAATATTTGAAATAGTTGAAATGTAGTTAATTTGTACTTTTACTTAAAATCAGCTCTGGTATTTACTGAAAGCAAGGAGAGAGCAAATTTGGCAGTTTTCCTCAGAGTTAATCAAATTCAGTGTCTGTGGAAAGTGGAAAGTACTGGTATTTCACTGGCTTTTTAACTGAGTAGAATTCTAACTGAATTGCCATGGCAATGGTGCAACTACCAAAATCTCAATGATCACTACAGCAGCCAGGCCAAGATGTTCTACCAATCAAAGGGGGACTAGGCTACTCCTGCCCTCTCCCTTGCAAAACCTTTTTCTTCTATATCGCCATATTTGCAATATGCTTAATAACTATTAAAGTTTGTGAGGGAGCACTTGGTAAGAGCTCCTTTGCGGTCCCAGCACTCATTGAATAGAATGAGTAAAAATTCTACCACCAGGTTGCCATGGCAATGCTGTGACTCGGAATGAGTGTCAACCGAAAGTAGCATGTACTGTGGTCTGCATCCCCTGGAGGTGTAGACTAAACAATCCTTCACTATATTACCAGGGATGCTGCCAGTACCAACTGCATCACTAGGGATCCTGCCTGCCAGAGGAGGCTATATAATTTGGTGAGTTAGGCGGCTGCCCAAGACCTTGTGCTGACTTTACTCACCTAATTGGAGAGTTGTCTGTTGTAATGACACATTAGGCACTTAATCACAGGCCAAGGGCCTGATGTCAGGAGGGGGCCCAGCAACGCCAGGATGAAAAAGGTGATGCTGTGAAAGAGCTAATCATGAAACCAGCCCTGGTTTCTGTGGATAGTAGGTGGTCCAATGTCGTTAGGAGCTGACAGCAGGTTAGGGCATTCGAGTGTACCTGTGGGGATGGCAATGAGGCCTGTGTGAAACCTCTGTAAGAAACCTGTCACCAAATAATCTACCAAATGCCTGGCTGGGTGGAAACATAGGTAGTAAGCCACAATATCTATGTTGACCTCGGTTAGTCATTTTTTAGGAGAAAGGGCCGGGCACATGGTCTTGGTATGCACTCTGAAGCAAATGGAGCAGATGTGCAACAACCTGCATGCACTGAAGCTGCATGCACCAGCGTTAAAATTATTGCACACCTGCGCCTTGCCCAGAAACGCAATGGGTCTGCCCAGCTTGTCCCTCATAGAAAGAAAGAGGACCAATCGTACTTGATGCCCAAGTCAACTACTTTATGCATATAAAGATCAAGCTCTTCCCTCCTATGTGGATACACAGTGCAAATTACATCTCTATATATCCGAAAAGCTATAACGAACTGGGGGCATAGCTTCTTGTTAAGGCGTGGCTCTCTAGTTTTTAATACCACTGAGATGTCCCCGTAATTGTATGCTCATTTCTCAAGGACATCTTATAAGGCTATGAGTAGGGAAACTAGGTTTACGTCCTTCCCATCCAGTATTTCCTTTTTAATGGAAGTTGGAACGGAATGAGCAGGTGAGACATGTGGTGGTTGTGGTTGGTGGGGGAGGAGGAGGGGGGTGCCAGATGGCAAAATAGGGATTACCAGAGGAGGACTTGAAGGGTAGGTCACCTGAGGTGGCTATGGCTGATTCCACTTTTAGCAGTCTACTATTCATGGTTTGGAGGTTGGCCGGAATAACTGTCAGGGTTTCCTGTGTAGAATCAGAGGTGCTGGAAGACAGCCCTTGTGAGCTAGTGCTGGGCCTAGGTTCGCTGGCCTAAGCCATCAAAAGCCTGTATAGCTCTGCCTTTCTAGCAGTGGCTGAAAAGGGGATACCCCTGAGTCTAAGTTCAACTGCAATTTTTGGGATAGTCCATGATCTCAGGGATCTGGGGGTAGAGAGGGTGAGGGATTCCTCTGGAGACCCAGGCCTGACTGGCGTGCTTGGTACTTCTTCCAAAGGTAGATCGTTGATGGGAATAGATTCTTCTGACATTCTGCAAAAGGAATAATGATTTAAATTAGGCAGGGTAGTGGGAAGGAAGAACGACACCTTCAGAGAACTGGCCTGCTGACTAGCGCCAAGGCGAAGAACTTAACTATAGCCAAGTGACAGGTGAGGCCCTGCTAACGCCAAGTGGCGGTGAGAGGCTCTGCCTATGATTTGAAGCTGAGGGAAGTTGTGGCCACTAGAACGTGGTGGCGGGATGTTGGCCTCTCAATGACCAAACTCAATGATTCAAATACGTGTGGCCGTGACTTGGGAAGCCCTAACTGTAGCCCTAAAGAAGGGAGAGCAAGGCGGCTAACTATGATTTTGGCCGTGGGGCTGAACCTCCGCGTTGAGGTGGGGAGTAGGCTTTGCGGGACCGGTGAATTTACTTAGGGTAGCTAAGGCCAGCACCTATCCCTGTATGCCAGTTCTCTAAACCTGATGGGGCTTGTCTCCTTAATGATGTGACTGAACACATGTAGATACTAACCTTGAGTATTACTCTTATCACTTAGCGCGTGATACAGTAGGTCTTGGATACAAATTGCTTCGGAAAAAACCCCAGATCTAGCCAAGGTATCCTAGGGATAAGATGTATGTAATGAAGTCAAACGTATGAAGAGGTGTGTATTAATGATACTGTAACATAAGAACCCGTGTAAGATGAGGGACCTGAACGTCCATACCTAGAAACAAGACCCGTGTAACCATAATTTGGTAATGTAATGTAGTGAGGGGAGAAGTTCCTGTGAAGGTTGCATGAGGCCTCAGGGCAAGATAAATGTAACGAGAAAACCACTATACCTGATACTGTAAGACAGGATACTGGGATGACACTTCCTGAGGTCTACTTGAAGAAAATGTTGAGGAGCCTAAAATCATACATAGAGCTAAGTACCGAAACAAGTATAAAGCTAAGAGAAACAGTGGTTGAGCGATCGTGCCTATGGTCAGTACAGATTGGTGTTTGTATTTGGGAAATAGACGGGAAAAGTTGTGCGTGCTTAACATATGGGCATGCTACTAAAAGATAATAAACGTATGACTTTAGTAGGAGAGAAAACGTAATTAATGAAAGGCTAAACATGCAGCCATGTTAGGCAAAAGTAATTAATGATAACCTGTGAGACTAAATTGACTGGAAAAAGTGAATGAAAAGTGCAGGACCCCTAAACCTGCATAAATTGAAATCAGGCAGAAAATTGGGTGAAAAGCTATTAGATGTAGTGATCTGTTCATTCGTATGAATGAATGGTATAACAGGTTAACATGTGCAAGACAAGGGATTTTAAGCGGTAAAACAGGCTGGCGTTCGACTAAAAACATACGAAAGGAAAGAACTGCATGCATACATTGTGTCTGTGGTCGGCTGTTTGACCGCACAAAAGAATGTACGAATGTAAGTATATCCTGCGGTCGGCTGTTTGACTGCACGAAAGACTGAATGAACGTAAGTATACCCTGCGGTCGGCTGTTTAGCCGCACGAACCGCTGAAATTCACGAATGGGTAATTATGCATCAAACAGGTATAGTATTAGTGAAGGGAACCTACCCCCACGTTTTTAGGTCTGAACGTGGGAAATAGCCGAACGCTATTTCCCACGTTATGCTTACGTGGACGTCCCGGTCTCGTGACCGGAGGCCAGGCACCGTGACCGGGGAGAAGCCGGGTGGCAGGAACGGAGGTCGGAGGCAGAGGATACTGCTGGCGACGGGACTCCTGCTGGAAACTTGAACTGTTTGGCGGCAACTCGGACCGGAAGTGCTGATTGCTAAGGAGTCAATCAGCTTGCACGGCAGAGGTGAGTAGGGGCTTGGTGTTTAAGTAGAGGCCATAACTCCTCCCACAAATTCAAGCCTAATGGCCTTTTCATATGTTTGTTATGAATTGCATTTAAGTTTGTGATTATAGTAAGTATATGCAGCTGTATAAATGCATGCAGGGTTAAATTAAAGGGTTACTCGAGCTACCATGACCACTTCACTGATTAGATGTCGTCATGGTGGTAGAAGCATGTATGTGCAGTGTTACAGCTGGAAACACTGCACATACCGAGCAATCTTCATTTTCGTGCCTGTATTCTATAACATTTTCCTACCCCGTTAGAATTCCTTACACCCATCACTTCTTGTGACCTGGCCTCACCAGAGATGAGGCAAAATCAGCTAGAGGTCGACTTACCTGTATGGGGCACCAGGAGTGAGATACAGGATCCTCACTGGGTGCTGTGCACATGTCCAGCCCACACTAGGTTGCAGGAATGATGCTCGTGTGCAGGCTGACGGCGTGTCTATATCGCATGCGCAAAGATCAACTGTTCAGGACACAAACGCAGTATAGGGTAGGGTATTCTGATGCTGCTACTGTGAATACCCGGCCCTATACTGTGGCATGCTTTCTGCACAGCTGATCTTCGCACATGCCCGCGCGCAGTGTTAGAAAATTCTACCCTGCTACCGCACATGCCCATTAGCTGCAGGCTGGCACAAGTGCACATGCAATGTCACAGCACCCCACACAAGTAAGCCAACCTCCGGTTGACTCTGCCTTTATTCCTGTGCGGCTGCATAACCGGAAGTGATGGGGGTAGGTAATTCTAACGAGGTAGGGAGATTTGATCGAACACTCTCGACACACGATATGCAGCCCTCTGCTCTGGACTGCCTTATGTCAATTCTGTGCATACTTTACATCTGTCGCCAGAGAGCTGGCAAAAGACTTAATAATCTTTTCACCTGCAGACAGAGTGCCTGAAATGGGAAGATTGTGCGCATGCGCCAACAGCAGCTGTGCAGAACACAGGGTAGGGAATTCTGACACTGCGCATGTGCTGGACCAGCACATGTGCAGTAGCACCATCAGAATACACTACACTGTATTGCGCATGCGTCCTGTACAGCTGATGTTGATGCATGCGCATTACAGGCATAAGAAACTCTACCACGATACAGCGCATGGGCATCAAGGGGGGGTTTGGCACCCCCGCCCCACCCCCCTCTAAAAAAACAACTTCAAAATTTTTACTTTTTTTACTTTTTTTTTTTTTTAAATGTATTGAACAAGTCTGTAAACTTTTTAAAACCCCTGCACCCCCTAACACAGTTACAAGCAGACAGTGTCACGCACACAGTCACACTACATAGTTACATAGCTGAAAAGAGACTTGCGTCCATCAAGTTCAGCCTTCCTCACAAATGTTGTTGCTTTTGATCCAAAAGAAGGCAAAAAACCTGCTCTGAAGCGCTTCAAATTTTTTCCAATTCCTTCTTGACCCCAAAATAGCAGTCAGATGTCTCATTGGATCAAGCAGCTATTACCCCACTAATTAGAAATTATATCCCTGTATGTTATGTTTTTGGAAGTATTTATCCAATTTCAGTTTAAACATCTGTATGGACTCTGACAAAACCACCTCTTCAGGCAGAGAATTCCATATCCTTATTGTTCTTACTGTAAAAAACCTTTTCTTTGCCTTAGATGAAATCTACTTTCTTCCAGCCTAAATGTGTGACCTCGTGTCCTATGTATAGCCCTGTTTATGAATAGATTTCCAGATAAAGGTTTGTACTGGCCCCCGAATATATTTGTATAAAGTTATCATATCCCCTCTCAGGCGCCGTTTTTCCAAACTAAACAGATTTAATTTTTTTTAACCTTTCTTCATAACTAAAATGCTCCATTCCTTTTATCAATCTTGTAGCTCGTCTCTGGACCCTCTCCATTGCCTTGATATCCTTTAGAACAGGCGCCCAAAATTGCACAGCATATTCAATATTCAAGGTGTGGTCTTACCAGCGATTTATAAAGAGGCAAAATAATTTTTTCATCCTGAGAATTTATGCCCCTATTTATACATGACAAAATCTTACTGGCCTAAGCAACTGCAGATTGATACTGCATATTGCTGCCTAATTTGTTGTCTATAACAATTCCCAAATCCTTCTCGTGTGGTTATCCCTAGTTCACTACCATTTAGTGTGTAAGTTGCTTGTGCATTCTTAACCCCGAAGTGCATAACTTTGCATTTCTCTATGTTAAATTTCATCTGCCATTTTAGTGCCCAGTCCCCCAATCTATCCAAATCCCTCTGCAGCAAAGCAATATCCTGCTCACATTTTATTACTTTACAAAGTTTTGTGTCATCTGCAAACACTGATACATGGCTTTCAATGCCTATTTCAAGATCATTTATAAATGTTAAATAGGAGTGGTCCCAAAACAGAACCCTGAGGGACACCACTTACCACTTTTGTCCAGCCTGAAAAGTTACCATTAATTACAACTCGTTGTACTCTAGCCTTAAGCCAATGTTCTACCCAAAAACAAGAATATTCATCTAGACCAATTTCTTTTAGTTTGAAGACTAAAGAGTCATACAGTTACAGGTAGAGAGTTAAACACAGTCACGCACACTGTTACAGGCAGCTAGTCACACGCACACAGTTGCAGACAGACAGACAGACACATGCACTTGCTGACAGACAGACAGACAGACAGACACATGCACTTGCAGGCAGTCTCACACACACACACGCACTTACAGGCAGACAGTCACACACAGACACACACTTGCAGGCAGGCAGACAGACACACACTTGCAGGCAGGCAGACAGACACACACTTGCAGGCAGGCAGACAGACACACACACTTGCAGGCAGGCAGACAGACACACACACTTGCTGGCAGGCAGACAGACACACACACTTGCAGGCAGGCAGACACACACACACTTGCAGGCAGGCAGGCAGACACACACACTGGCAGGCAGGCAGACACACACACACACACACACACACAGGCAGGCAGACAGACACACACACTTGCAGGCAGGCAGACACACACCTTGCAGCAGGCAGGCAGACAGACACACACACACTTGCAGGCAGGCAGACAGACACACACACTGCTGGCAGGCAGACAGCTGGCAGGCAGACAGACACACACACACTTGCTGGCAGGCAGGGACACACACACACTTGCTGGCAGGCAGGCAGACACACACACACTTGCTGGCAGGCAGGCAGACACACACACACTTGCTGGCAGGCAGGCAGACACACACACTTGCTGGCAGGCAGACAGACACACACACTTGCAGGCAGGCAGACATACACACACTTGCAGACAGCAGCAGACAGACACACACACTTGCAGGCAGACAGACAGACACACATGCACTTGCAGGCAGACAGACAAACACACATGCACTTGCAGGCAGACAGACACACATGCACTTGCAGGCAGACAGACACACACTTGCAGGCAGGCAGACACACACACATGCACTTGCAGGCAGGCAGACACACACACATGCACTTGCAGGCAGGCAGACACACACATGCACTTGCAGGCAGACACACACACATGCACTTGCAGGCAGACAGACAGACACACACACACACACACACACACACACACACGTGCACTTACAGGCAGACAGTCTCACACAGTGTTACAGGGTCAGGCAGACAGTTACAGACACTCACTTACAGACCATGTGGGCTAGAGAAGTGGATTCCCTGGCCTGAAGTCCTTCCCTGGAGCCTGGCAGGTGTAGGAGCAGGGATTTCAAAAATATCAATTATGAGGATAAACAAAAAAGGCAGTGTTTTACATTGAAAAGCCTGCAGGGACAGGCTACATACACCAGAACTACTACATTAAGCTGTAGTGGTCCTGGTGACTAGCATCTCCCTTTAAGAATTGCAGTTTTGTCATTAAATATAAAGCTATGTGAGTTTATATAAAAATAAAACTCTGGCTCCTAGATTCAAAGCCAACTTGTCGAGCCCTGCCTTGACTAACTTCATTGTCACCCAGTCCACACCAGTTTTGCTCCCCTACATTCTATCTAAGTTGCTTACTTAAGCAAGAACATGTAAAGAGTAGGGAAAAAAATTAAATGGGCTTTCAGCTGCATCAGCTTCCATGTTAAAGGGACACTATAGTCTCAAAAACAAAAAACTTTTTAAAGTTAAATCTAATTGAAAACAAAACAATTTTGGTTTCATGCCGGCTGTTTCCATCACAGCCTGGGGAGGCGTGGCTAGGGCTGCTTAAACCGACTCTTCCAGAAATGGAAGTGAATTTAGCAGTGATACTTCAGGGTTGTGATCTATACACAAACTGCTTCAGTAAGCTACAGTTGTTTTGGTGACTATTGTGCCCCTTTAATCCGGCCTTGAGCATACCCTGGATACTGCTGTCTATATAGCATAGTGAATCAGTTCTTGTGATGTCACTAAATGCCTTTTTGTAATAGAATCCTAATAGAAAGTCAGAACATGCAGGAGTACCTGTGTCTATCCTATTCCAATTATCCTTTGCACCAATGAGACTCCAGGGGCCTCTTACGGCACAGCAATTTAATCCTAAATTCAAATAGAACAAAAGCATGTACAGTGGTTTAACGAGAGTGAAACCTATGTACAACCTGGACAATCTTGGTAACGGTAATATATTGTAGATATGTTAAACCTGTATCAACAAGTGTTTATAAGGATCCAACAATAAAATACAAAATAGATATAAAGACAGTCTTATGAGGCTAAACACCTATGTCTGGATAAGGTTAAATCATGAAAAATAAATCTAATAATGAGCTTCACCAGATGATACTGGTATAAATAAAGTGGGGCTTTATTGAAAGTGGCCCCAAGAGAAATACCAGTAGTTAGTGGATGCTTTTAAAAATAGTAGATGGTTATAAAATAACCATATTAGTATGAGGAGAGGAAATACAGATTCTATCAACTAGAAAAGCCTTTCCCTACAAAGCTAACTAGACCGGCATAGGAGAATAAAAAAAGGAAATAAGTAATCAAATAGATTTCCAAACAAGTGAAGGGGGGGAGGGGAAACTGACCTTCATGCAGCTCAGACTTGCTGTACAGGAGCTCCTGAGTTTATGGCTGTTTTGGTGTGGTTCACCTGGCCAACAAGCCACACTAAAGGGACACTAGTCACCAAAACAACTTTAGCTTAATGAAGCAATTTTGGTGTATAGATCATGCCCCTGCAGCCTCACTACTCAATTCTCTGCCATTTAGGAGTTAAATCACTTTGTTTATGTAGCCCTAGCCACACCTCCCTGCATGTTACTTGCACAACCGTCCTAGACACTTCCTGTAAAGAGTCATCTACAGTTTATTTTTATTTAACTTTTTTTTTTTTTTTTTGCAAGTTCTGTTTAAGATTTTCTTATTCCCTGCTATAGCTGGCTAGACCCTTCAAGAGCTTCCTGTATGTGACTAAAGTTCATTTTACAGAGCAAGAGATACAATTTTAACCCCTTAATGACCAAACTTCTGGAATAAAAGGGAATCATGACATGTCACACATGTCATGTGTCGTTAAGGTACATTACTTTTTTTTTTTTCTCATCATGCAGTCTGTGTCAATCAGAGCCAGGGGAGATGTGACAACAGTTGCATAAACACAGTGATTTAACTCCTAAATGAGAGTGAATTGGGCAGTAAAACCTGAGGCATGATCTATACACTAAAACTGCTTCATTAAGCTGAAGTTGTTTAGGTGACTATAGTGTTCCTTTAACTAATGAATATCATCTGAGTCGGGGATCCCTGGACGAGCGACTAGAGCTTTCACCCGGCTCATAACTCCACCCTTGAGCCCAAAATCTTTGCTGTGGATGGAGTTGGGAGAAGCAGCCGACCTTCCCCCTCTACACCCTATAGTGTGATTATGCACAACTCCTACCGCCCCCCCTGGACCGGTGTGGGTCATTCCGGTCCCCACTGTAAGTCAGCTGAGAGTGTGGGGTGTCACAAACCACCTACATCCCACTGTCTCCTGCTTGCTCCTCACTTACTGCAACCCTTCAAAATGGCAGACACACTCCAAACTGCTACAGGAGGCCTTGGCCCATCATGGCAGCCGCCACAGTGCTATCTCACATACCATGCAGCAGCTGGATGAAATGTTTCAAGCCTTGGCACAAACTACAGGAACGAACAAAAGCCTACCCACTTCACTCAAAAGGGAAAGGGCAGAGATGCACCTTGCCGGAGAAGAGCGGACTCCCTCAGGGTAAAACTACTCTGCAAGCAACGACCTACCCTACCTGGGCCAAGATCACTCAGAGGTATTGCCTCAATGCACCGACCATGCAGGCTGAAGATCTCCCGCAGAAAGCGGACCATTACAACTAGATCCTCCAGCCACCCCAAACTGGGGAAAGACTTGGCACCAAAGTGTCCTCAAGTCTGTGGAATGAGGGTGCAGGCTCTCTACGCTCAGGGCTAGAGGGAAGCCCAGTTCTGGCAGTCTGATTTGGCCTGTGGACTCTCTCCTCGTTCAGCACCAACCTTGCCACTTAGAGGGATCAGTTGATCAGAGAAAAGGGCCCCTAGAACGTGAAAGGCTTGATCACACACTGACACACCATTTGCCTGGCGCCAGGGCCAGCCTTAGTGGTGTGTGAGCTGCACAGGGCGCCATGGAGCAGGGGGTGCCGTGCGACCACACAGCCAGCAGGGATTTAAAATTAAAAAAAATTGCGTTGGGGGCTGAACTAAAGTGCCAGATAACTGCAGCAGGGGAAGCAGGAAGGAGTCCCTGCTTCCCCCAACAGTCTCCAGGAGCTGCACTGCCTGTTTGCCTATACAAGGAATAGAGGTAACTGTGTGTGGCTGGCTGTCGGAGCATGTGTGTTTGTGCATGTGTAAAACTGTGGCTTCCTGTACGTGTGTATGTGATTATCTGCCTGCGACTATGCATGTGGTGGATTTGACAGTGTATAACTGTGTGCACTGGGCGCTGAGAAGATTTTTCGCACAGGGCGCCTAAAGGCCTAAGGCCAGCCCTGCCTGGCACAACACTACCAGAGCGACCTGTCTGAGATATGCTTCATTTTTAGTGTTTATTTTTCACGTTTTCCTCCCTATACTCCTAAAGCCTGTGCAATAGGGGACTGAATTCAGTGGTTCAACTCACTATCTTGGATTTGTTTAGGTCTGTACTAGTTATGATTTTTAGCGATGGTAAGCAAGAGCTATGAGTCTGACCCATGAGATATGCTAGACAATCTGTATGTCTAGTCGCTTATCTCCATTGACAAGCTAACCACAACCTAACGCTTAGAAATGCAATAACATGCTAAAGGTTATTTTCCTTTTATTTATCCATTCTTTTGCTCTTAAGTGAAAGTGAAACCCAGGTGTCCTGATGAAAGCTTGAGGGGATCAAGCTGAAACATTGACATGTGGTTTTTTTGTTTTTGTTTGTTCTTGGAGTGCTATCATTTGAGGTGTGTGTGTGTGTTAATCACACACACCTTGCTGGCTAGTTTACTCAACATTTGGCTATCTAGCTTGTGACCTATTAACTTTTCCTAACTATATAAAAGTGTGCAAGTACTAACTTATACTTCAATGTTACTAATGTCTGGGGGGAAAAGCATGAAGACTGCTGTTGGGGTACCCCAAGCGCATTTGTTATGTTCATATGAACTGCAAAAATAAACAGTGAAGTGCCCAAAAGACATTTTGTTATAAAAGGGATTCCAGCCATTTGATTGTTTCCCCTGACGAAGGTGCATGTAGTTCTGCACCGAAATGAGCGTCGGGTGTTCTAGTTTGGGTTTCTCTTGGGTACTTCACATTTACTCAGATTGTACAGAGGTTTCACTCTTGGTGAACCACTGTACATACTTTGTTTCTAATAGAATGTCACCCTATCTTTACCCAAACAGCACTGTGCCTAGAACCTGCTGCATTCTACAAGACTTGCTAAATAAATTTCCGGTTTTAGTTGTGAACCTAGTCTCTGTTCATATTTTGCCTTGCTTTTCCATAGCCAAAATGAGATGGCCTAGAAATGCAATCCTGCTCCATAGCTTTATCAGAATTGACTACTGAGAAAAGTGAAGTATGCAAGTGTTTACTAGAACTCAAATTGGACAGATACCCAAGTCATCCCCTGCGTGCCAAGTAGGTAGGATAGCCATGACCTGCAGCCATTTGGACTGTCTCAGAAAACTTATTTTAGTCATACCTCTTTATATGACCTTCACATTTCTGACTACTAAGTTTGTATTTATGCTGCTAAATAAAATAAGTCTTACACAAATGGACTCCTAGTTCTGTTAATTTCAGACGATATCCAGATGGATCAAGGAAAATACCCAGTTGCCTGGAGTTATGTCTTGCTGGTAATACCTGCATTGCCCAAACATGTATTAACAGGACCTTGTTGGTGGGTAGGCATCTACTGTTTTACAGTGTCAAAAAATTAAATGGTTGTAAATACCAGGTTCACCTTGGAATTTACTTTTTTGGTGTGGGTTTTTTCTTTTATTAAAATAAACAAAATGCTGTCTTCAACAGAAACAAGGATGTGTCTATACTAGTGGGCAGCTACAAAGAATTAATGCACAGAACAGGCTAATCGTAGATAATTTTGACTTATTATATAAACTGTGCTCTAGACCTATGGCACTGCATTTAATTTTAAAGTGCAAGAGTTCCTGTTTAGAAACCTAAAATGATAGCCTGAATCTTTATGTATATATCACAGCTGATTTCTTCTAGAACAGAAAACCATTAATTAGATGATATACAGTAGGCTGACCTGACAAACTGTTGGAAGCATAGTTCAAAGTTGAAGCAACAGTGGTTACCCAACCTGGATGGAGCAGAAAAAGTAAGCTATCAATGGCTGCGGGTAGATTGTGGGAAAAAACTTAAGTGAGTGCAAGAGACCTGCATCAAGACTTTGTGGCAACAGGCACTGAGGTTTCAGTGAGCATAGCAAGGCATGTACTAAATGGGTAAGGTTTCCATGCCAGAGCTCCAACACCTACACCACTACGGACCTAAAAACACAAGCCAACTCAAATATACTCGATCGTATAAATAAGCCAGACTTTTTGGGGTTCTGTGGAGATATGAAAAAGAACTGGAACTTTTTGGCCAAATGGATCAGCAGTATGTCTAGAGGAAGAAGAATGAAGCATATGCTGAAAAGAACACTCTGCCTATAGTTAAGCATGGTGGTTGCTCGGTGAAGCTCTGGGGCTGCTTAGCATCCTCTGGCACTGGAAACATACAGCATATGGATGGCAGGAAGGATTCATTGAAGTATCTGAAAAGTAGGAAAAAATATTGTGCCATCTGAAGCAAGATCATGATCCCAAGCATACCTCAATTTCTAACAAGGCTTGGTTGTAGAAGTAATCCTGGAAAACACTAGTGGCCAACACTGTCACCTGACTTGAACCCTATAGAAAATATCTGGTGGGATTTGAAGAAGGCAGTTGCAACATGCAAACCCCAGAAGATTACCGAACTGGAGGCCACTGCTCCTGAGCAGTGGCCTAAGATTTCTCAGGAATGCTGCCAGAAGCTGTCTGGCTATGCATCTAATTTGCAACCAGTCATAGCAGCAAAAAGGTGCTCTAAGTACTAAAGATGCTTGCCATGAAGGGCTTGAATAATTTTTGAGATGGGAGAAGCTATGAAGAAGTTTCAGTTGAATTTGGGGAAACCCTTAATTGTGGTGGTTTGTGTGGGTGTTTTTTTTTTTTTTTTTGTAAACCTTGATTACATTTATTGTGGTCTTTGATCTGGCAGCAGGCCTAGACCATAAAACCTCTAGATGGCCATCACCAGAGCTGGACACAAGGAATTGCATTGAGTGGGCAATAAACTGCCAGACCAACCCAAGTACAGGTTCACTGAATGTTTACTACATAACAGAATATCTGCACTAACAAATCAAGTATCTTTGTTCTCACTAAAATAACATTTTGAAGGGACTGTGCATGCTTAAATGTAATCTGAATTTTACTGTAACAAAATGTGCAAAACGATAAAAGAAATCTGCATTTGCTTACCAAACTAACAACATTGTAGCACTTTTAGACCACCTTTTTCATCCAAAAGCAATGTTGCCTCACTCTGCAGGCTGCACTGGTAAATGACTTATTTTTCATATTTGCCTTTGTTCTTATGTATCCCACATCCTCTCCAGGGAGGACCATGATCTAATTTTATCTAAACTTGGGTATGTACATTTCACAGATCAGGCATCTTTTGCCTAAATATTGCCATTTAGACTGTAACTTTCTAAAATGTGAAACAAAACACTAGCAATGTGTGAATTGTCGAATATTCAACTTAAAAAAACAAACACAAACTTAGTTTAACAAATAACCATCCTAAAACCCAGATGACTTCTTCCAACTTGGTTATTTGTATAGAAAGTTTAAAAAAAAAAAAAAAAATTCTCCTGACTAGTAACTAAACATTGTAGCAGATAAATCAAGAATTCCCTTCCCTAATTCCTGTCTGTCATCTGCTCACAAATACAGTAAGTTGCTATAGAAACAAACCTTATGTCCCCAATATCTAACTCTTCCTCTTACTCTGCAGTATTCTTTTAATGGGGAGGGGTGGGACTGTTTAGTACTGCTGGTTAATGTAACAGATGGCTGTGCCACCCACATTCTGTTTGTCATAACATTACATTTGGGCACTGTTACATAGTCATGGTGTTTCAGATAAAAGGGGACATGTTAACCACTGGGCTGCCAGGAAGGATTCCATAATGTCATCAACCTAGTGGTTAAAGTGAAACTAGGGCATAAAATTGCCTTTTTAAAATGGAAAATTCTATATACATTGACATTCTTTACATGACTTTAATTCTTACTAAATGTGACATAGCTGTGCTTATGCATTTATTAATGCCATCTGAGCAGTCATGATACTGAAATACCTCTCGGGGGCAGTCCCAAGTTTGGGCACAAATTAATCTGTCCCGCTTTTCTATCCTAATTTACCTATATTTTTTTAACTTTTTTTTTTGGAAGCTATATACAGTTTACTGTAGATTTGTCTTGCTCTCAAAGTTTGTCTTTAACCTGCAATAATCTTTTATATATTCACAATCCAATACAAAAACGTAATTTTTCTAGATTATATTGTAAATCACTTCAAACGTCTCTGGAAGTAGTGTAGGACCCAATGGTATTGGGCTACAGTGATGTAGTGGTGGGCTTAACAAAATATGGCCAAATGGTGCAATTGAATGCCCATTGACATTTACTGCAGCACTATTCCTGCAAAATTAATATTCCAGCTGTGTCCCAATTCCCATTTTGTATTTACATTACCTTTGAAGGAGACACACGGGCGTAGCAACACTTGAGGGAGGAAAGATGAGAAGCTCTGTTCTGGACAGGTTTGGATTTAGAAAATGAGCAGCCATCCAGTTGGAAATGGCTTGTGTCCTCATGGAAGGCAAGATTTTTACCAAGGGAGGTAGTATAGATGGACAGAACCTTGGGAGGCAGAGGGGTTGGGTAGAAGAGTAAATGCCAGGGGAAGAAACTCTAAGACTGGGGAAGAACCTGGAAAGAGCAGAGTCTCAGACTATGTCAAACAAAGGTCAAGGAGAATGTGTCTACTGGATATAGGAGCAATTGGATATTTTGGTAAGGGCAGTCTTGATGGTGGCAGGTGCAGAATCCACACTGAAGCAGATTGAACAAAGAGTTGGATTAAAGGAAGTCGCTTCATCTAGTGTAGACAAATCTCAAGGATCTTGGAGGCAAACTGCAGTAGCCAGATATTCACATGTAATGTTAGGCCTTTTAACGTATTTATATCTTTTACAAAAATTATATGTATGGGGCACTTGCAAACTTATGGTTAAAATGTTGGTTTTATCAGAATGTGGATGATTGGTTCTGTCACTAATGTTCCCAGGAGTCTTAAAATATATAATATATTTTATTTCTTTTAGGTGGGAGAGGGGTAGACTTCCTTAAGTAAATGTTTCAATCACATCTCTGATTTGTACAAACTTTAAAATGTTTGCTTTCCTTAATTGACTGCTTTAATCTTTTTATAAATTTGCTCACTCTTCAGTTTAGCTCATGATGACAGAGCAGTTAAAATCCCCTCCCTTCTTGAATCTGCTCTAATTATTCAAACAAACCAGTCATCTGCACCCTTTTTTTTTTTTTTCCCTATATTAAACAAATGTTCAAACTTTGCCTAGCTGATCAGACTAGATCAAGCATGTCAAACTTGCGGGCCACCTGCCCTGGGGTCACTTTGTGCTGTGGCTGCGACCAGCTGCACGACAGGAAATGTCTTTGCTGTCTGACTCACAGCCTATTGTGTGCTCCTGCAGCCACAAGAGTGCCAGAGGAGTGGCTGGTCTGCTTGAGCAGAGAGTAACTGGAGGATAGGCGGCTCATCTTAAAGTAGAAGAGGTGCTTGGGGGACCTTCCTGCTTAGTGTTATATTTGCTGCTCCTCCACCCCCTCCCCCCCTCCCTGGAGGGAGGGGGGACAGTGTATTGCAAGCATGTTAAACTCAAAGTCTAGCATGGGCCACATTAACAAGGCTTAGATTTATGTTGGCCATAAAAAAAAAGTTAAATTTTCATAGAAACATAGGTTTATTTTGAAAAGTAATTCCCAGCAGACTCCTCCACTCACACTACTGCCAGTATGCAAGTCCGGCCTCTGGTATACCCCAAGTGACACCGTCCACACCCCGTGCCAAATCTGATCCTCCCGCTACTTCTTGAAACCCTGTGAAGGTGGAGCACATCGATGTGGCGTTGCATGCCTCCAGGTACTCTACAATCATTAGCATCCTATGCAACACCGATGGCACACATCACTTTCTTTATTGCTCCCTACCTTTTGGAAGCCAATGTGGGGATCTACTGCCGTGGTTTAGTGGTGCTGGAATATGACTTCATATTCCAGCTTCACTACAGTGTGCGGAGGAGCAGGCACACAGAGCTCCCCGGCTGGGTAAGTGTTTTTTTTTTTTTTTTGCAGTAGGCACCTGCAATGTGGGGAAAGCGGGTGCCTACTCTGCTATAACACTAAACATGTACTCGCGGTTCGCCGGGCCGCGAGTTTGACATGCTCGGTGTCCTGGATTTGTGGGCTAAAAAATGCTCCCTATGGAGATGTTTTGCCACACATGCACAATAGCCTTCCTACGCTTTCCTATGGGAAAGCATTTGGATTGGCTGAGATCATGAAGTTTGTCAGCCAAAGCAAAGCATACTCATAGGACTTCAAAATCAACAAGTTAAAGTCATTTGTTCTATATTTTTTTTTTTTTTTATTTTTATTTTTTTTTTATTTATTTTTTTTTTTTTTACAGCTGTGCCACAGCATACATTCACCATGTCAGTCCCCTTACCATCACTGGCTATATGCAAATGCACGTCTCCTTAAAATTTAATTTGTTTACTTTGAAACACTCAGAGTGTGAGGATGTCCAGTGTCACAACTTATTTATTTTATACTATAATTTTCTAAAACCATTTCTATGGAAACAGAAGGGTTTTTTTTTTTTTTTTTTTGAGCCCACAAACCTAAAGCTTGTTTTATTTGGCCCGTGTTAGCCTTTGAGATTGACATGCTTGCACTAGATTGTCCAAAAAAAGCAATAAATATTTACCTCTAAACATCTTAGTTTTTTGATTGAGACACTGCTTTGTTTTATGTATACTACAGACCCCTAGGCCTAGGGTATTAAAAAAAAATAAAAATAAAAATTATATATTACATTTTTGTAAACCGTTTAAATCCACTCTTCGACATTGGGAGGATAACTCCATGCCACCAATCTTATTTTTAGTGCACTGTATAGGGGTAATTAAAAAAATAAAAATAAAAAAAATTTAAAGGGAAAAATCTTGCATATGGTGGTTGTTCACCATTGCCTTCTTCTGCAAAAACTAGAAAGTGTGTGTCCCACTAGCCTAGATAGTATGGTGGCTTCAGTACTCCACATATCTGGAAAAAGTTATAAAAACTGATAACATGGAATTAAAACGTAACTTTAAATTATGTGTCAGGAAATACTCAATTCATGCATAGTCCAAAAATGTTTGCTCCATGTCCAACTCAACATTGGGCGGATGCTACTTGGGTTGGGCACCCCCCCCCTCCCCTGGGAGTATCTGGAGAACACTACAGAATTTTTTTAAATAGAATCAAAAGGGAGGTGGGAGAAACGCAGATGTGGCAATGGCCAGTTAAAGGGACACTAGTCACCAAAACAACTTGCACTTAATGAAGCAGTTTTAGTGTATAGATCATGCCACTCCAGTCTCACTGCTCAATTCTCTGCCATGTAGGAGTTAAAGCACCTTGTCTACGCAGCCCTAGGCACACCTCCCTGCATGTGACTTGTACAGCCTTCCTAAAGACTTCCTGTATAGTCATCTGTTTATACTTCCTCTATTACAAATTCTGTTTAATTTAGAAGTTATCTCTTGCTCTGTTAATGGCTTGCTAGACCCTGCAGGAGCCATTTTGTATATAATTAAAGTTCTATTGACAGAGCAGGAGATGAAGGGGAAAACAAATTATATAAAGTTTTCAATCAGATGCATCTTTAAACTTTTTTTTTTTTTTGTGCTCATTCAGGGGAGGTGTGGCTAGGGCTGCATAAACCGTGACTTAACTCCTAAATGGCAGTGAAACAGAGGCATGATCTATACACCAAAACTGATTTATGAAACTAAAGTTCGTTTGGTGCCTATAGAGTCTCTTTAAACAGAATTTAAATCCTTGTGAAAAACATAGGACTATCTTAAACAGCCTTTATTCACAAATCATTGAGATTTTGAAGCCTAACTGGTAGCATGAAACTGCCAGGAAAGTGGTCATAAAAAGACATGGCTTTCCAAGAGCTCCTATTCGCTTCTTTCTTCTTGATCACGCTATTCATTAAGCCAATGGTTAGGGGCTTAGGTCCTCTGGGCATCGTTCCTATTGGCACTCGTAAAATAGCACTATTGATCTTTCATCCGCTGAGAATTAAATCAGAGGGGATTGGATTATTGTATTAGAAGGAACATGTGTCTTGCAAACTGGATTGCTGGTAATGTATAACCTGTAATGATGGCATTTGGCAGCACACAGCATATTGGGTGCTGAATAATCTGACTGAAGATGGATTGCTGTGCCCTCTCTCTGGGTTCCTTGTGATTCTACTTAGTGGATAGTGACAGATCTGTTGGCAGTTAAGATAAGCCTGGAAAATGCTGGAAGCCATGCCAAGCACAGGCAGTCTCATGTTGCAGTATGAACACAAAGGGTCCCAGTTCCGGTTGCAAACAGAAGGTGTAAATTGGGGAAGGGTAGGATAATGCCATGCTTTTTCTATGGTTTGAGCAGTGACATCTGACAGATATATGGATAGAAAGTGATAACCAAAGCATGTAAAAAGTTGTGTGTATGTATATATATAAAATTTTTATTTTTTTCTCTTGCCAGTGGACTGGCACAATCCTATTTATGTTATGTAATATTGTAGTTGGGGCAAAACTAATATCAACAAAATCTGAAGTTTTTGTTTTGTATTTGCATCACAGAACCATGCGGAAACTCTTACTGATATCTGGACTCTCTATCCTGCTGGTGTCAATCGCTCTCTTCTGTGGGCTGTTTTTTGGCCTGCGGTCTCGCCCCTCTCCAATCAGTAATGTCTATGGAAGAGCTGTTGTAGCCACTGACTCAGGGACATGTTCTGAAATTGGAAGGTGAGCATTTTATAGTTTTGGCTTTGTCTGTTTTCTACACCGGTCTATAACTTTATTTTTATTCACAAGGATAGTGATGTAAAAACTGCTTGATATATTCCTAGTAAAAATTAATTCTTGGTTTACTGGCTGGAAAGTCAATAAAAACTCTAGTAAGAATTATACATAATGAATGTTGCATAAAATCTATCTGAAATACGCGTAATAAAAAGGGGAGGCGGGGGTGTAAGGGAAAGTCTGACATGCCTTTTGATATTTATTATGGATTCATTTTAGAGGGAATGCGATCATTGAATATAAAACTGAACTTGTATAATCCCAGTAGAGCACTCTGGAGTCTTAATGATACATTCCAACTGTTGCTTTGCGAAAAAACAGTGATACACAAAGTACAAGTTGACTTTTCAAGGTCTTGAAAAAAGTCTGAATAGACTGAAATGTCGACTTGTACTTTGTCACTGTTTTTGCTCAGTAAAACAGTTGGAATGTATCATTAAGACCCCAGAGTGCTCTACTTGGAGCCAATATGTGGTACACTAATGGATGGGGGGATAACCCCAAATGAAAACTACTAAACAAATAATGTGTACCAGGAGGGACTGGGATAGATGAGATGTACTGTGATGCAGGTAACAAATCACTGCAGAATGTCTCAGACAAGGAGCAATTGAAAGAAATAAAAAATTTATTAAATAATATAGTATAAATATCTTAATGTGCTTGTGTACAAAAAGTGAATAAAGTGATATGTATTAGGAAGTTAGACCAATACATTAATATAAATATCACTACTGGAGATGGGTATCAAAATGTGTCCAGCCTACGAAAATGGGCAGCCTGGCTAGGTGGATAAAAGTAGTGGGGTCATGTGCAGTAAAGACCTGATCACTACAAGGATCTAATACAATCACGAAGTGATTAACTAAATAGATAATAAACATTTGAATGGTAGAAAGTCCATGTGCTGCTTTAAAGTCATAAAAAGTTGCACTACATGGACCCCCTTGACGTGCGCGTTTCGCATGACATGGCATCTCCTTATTTGTGTAACAAGGTGACAAAAGTATTGCAAGACCAATGTTGTGATTTCCAGAGAATGGACTTTTTCCTTTAATCAATCCCAGTGTGTCACTTCTGTGGTGAGACCAAACACTATAAAACTCCACACAGTGCAAATAGTGACATTAATGTTGTGCATAACTTGCTTTTCTAAAGTTGGGAAAACCACACTCTGCACAGAAACTCAAATTCCTGTTTACACAATAGATATCTATATCACACACTATCTGCACGTGCTGCATAACGGTAACATTGTATAAAACATTTTAAACCTCCCAGAACTTTGCTAGATTTAGTAAACTGCATTCCAGTTATTCTAGGCACATATTGCAAATAAGGAGAAATACAAAACATTGGCGGATCACCAGAGGTTCCATTTCCATCAGTGTTTCTCTCCAGAGTAGCTTCAAATATTATAGCTGCACCAGTAGGCCTGATCTACACACAAGCTCCATTAAGCTAAAGTAGTTGTGGGGATATTTATGGGATAATAATAGTAAACAGTGAAAATTGCCCACTAATTCAATTCTCAGATCCCAAAGAACGTTTATCGTGTTAAGTGAGAAGTATATCATATAATATCACAATGTATAAAAATAGATTTTTATTTATAATGACAAATTAATAATAATATTATGCAACATGCATGACAATAATCAATGAATATCCAGTATAAAATGATATGCAATACAAAGAAATGGGTATTACGTTTCAATGGCTAAATAGCATTATCTGTCAAGACTTTTGACGATTTATGAGGTATCCTTAACACAGACTTAAAGTGAAACTTTTAACACAGAGAACAGAATTCTTCAGAGTGCAGCGTAAGGTCGTAAAGTTTAGCTGACAGTTAGAGTAACCCTTTCAATGCTGGCTAGATCTCCTAGGTAGTTAAGATCTATTCTTATGTAATTTTAAATAAAATAACATTTAAACCAGTTCATTAGTCATTTCCTGGAACCATCCAATAACAGAATCTACCATATTATATAAGCAGAATTTAATTTGTCTAAAAGATATCTATCTTATATTAGAGCAAATCAATACACCTGGATAAAAACAGCGGTATGCTAACACGTGATAATATCACATTAATATATAATTATTCTTAATTCCACCTGCAGAATGGAATGTTTGTAACTATATATTCTTAGTTAACTAAGATTTCTTAATATGGAAATCTGACTGTGCTTTATCCAGTTATATATAATGCTATTAATACATTTTAATTTAATTAATTAAATGAAACCAGTATAATTACCAGTTGAGAAGATATTTCATCCGATTGGTAGTCTCAGGAACTTATTTGGATTTCTCTCTGCATGGAGGTTGGAATCCCCAAACTTCCAATTCCTCTCTCCTCTTTTTCCTTCTCCTTTGCATCCCCTGCCTTTCCTATCTTCCCTTTGTCTTAACTTTTAAGGGGCCAGACTCTCTGTACGTCACCAGTTAATAACCCAATAGAAGTACTAGAGGTGTGGTTATCTTCCAGATCGCAATTTAGTTATTTGGTCTATAGAGGGCAGTCTTGTCCCACTAAACATACCTATCCAGGAAAGAGTTAACTTTTCCTGGTGGCTATTTTGGAGTCATTTTGGCCTATCTAGATAGTGGCCATAACTTACGTATCCTTCACAGATCAAAGGGTTTCTTAAGTTTTGTCCAGACTATGTGTCTGCAATTCCTGCTATAATTCTAAAATGGCAGATCATGAACTAAGTTTAACCTTAAACTTACAATGGTACTATATATATATATATATATATATATATATATATATATCTTTTATTATTTAATCTTCTCTGTCACAATTGTCTGGGTTTAGATTTGATTATAATCCATTAGCATTTAGACAGTCTGTCCAACCCCCTTTCTTCTTATCACTTGGTTTGTTTATAGTATGCATTCCTTTAGCTCTGCAAAAATGGGTAGTTTTACAGATAGAAATCTTGTATCTTTTTGTTAACTTGGAAATAACAAAATGGAGTCTGGTCTGTTCAGAGTGACTCAGAATATACACTTTTAGTTTCTATCATAGCACAAAATGTCTGCCGATATAAATATCCTGACATAGTTTAGATGACTAGTGTTCTTTTAATATTTCTAAAGTTGCAAATTTCTTCTTTGTTGTCCCTTGTTTCTATTAAAGAGATGTCCTCAAAGAGAGAGGCTCAGCAGTGGATGCAGCGATAGCTTCACTACTTTGTTCTGGACTCCTGAGCGCACACAGCATGGGTATTGGAGGAGGCGTGATCCTGACCATATACAACTCAACAACCGGTAAGATCTAGAGAAACTATAGTTAAATGTACCGTAACTATCAACCATCATCCATGTCTAGACACACTACTCTTGCATATGTGGGTCAATTTTTTTTATTTAAGTGCAGTTCCTCATGAGTTGCTTTAGCTTGACTATGTATATGTGCCGCATAACATTGCAGTACTACAAGTATATGCCTTTAATTTTGTGTCAATCTCTTCTCCTGTATTGCTATTGTGGCTTTGCAGGTTGCATCTGTATAGAATGGAGTACCTCTACAGAGTACTCCAAACAAAAATAGCAGTGTGAGATGTTTTCAGTAAGGAAGGGTCATTTGTATACTGTCGGTACGGACTCCTCTTCTCCCTTATTACTGAGGTAGATTTGTCCCTTCACTCCAGATAATAGGATAACCGTATTGGAAAATAAATATTAGTCAGCGTTGGCTCAGTCTCACCCTTGCTGAGGTTAAATATAGTAAGGTGACCCAGCCCTCTGTTCAATATGATACTAGTCCCCTGCAGATGTTGAATCTGGGGAGGAGGACACAGTATAAAATGAAAAGCTAAATATAGCTGTAGTCTTAAAATGAACAAACCCCATATCTCAACGCTCAGTGTTCTCGAGTGGACAATCTTACATCCAGAGACCACCCAAGTAGGTACAGGAGACTGGGCTTCTACAGCTATATAGAAGTAAGCTTATCAGTGCTACTAGAGTGAAATACCCCCTATGACTGGAGTCGTCCACCCGGATGGGTAGCCATGATGGAGCGCCTAAGCAAAAGAAAAATGAAAAATAAACCAATAAATAGATAAATCCCTAACTATACGTAAGGCTAAAGACACATCTACTGCTACTACAAAAAATAATTCCTTCCGGGCAGCAGTACAATTTTGGCCGGGGTTTTGCGAGTGTGTGTAGCCAAAAGGAGTTGCACGCGCTTCATGTGTTCGGGAGAAAAAAATGGCCATGCACTAGACCACATGCATTTGGTGCTTTCCACCCAGGTAAAGCACTAGAGTTAATCCTTTAATTGCGGTTAACAGCCAGGGGTGGTCCGTGTTCTGAGGCAATATGAGGGGGACCACACAAGTTTTATTCAGTACACGAACAGGGGGATGTGGACCTGTTCGGGAAAACTCAATATGGGTTCGGGCAACCACATGGAATGATGTCCGGTCCGCCACAGTGCAGTAAATTTCAAATAGTCTAAAAAAACAAATATATTTTATTTTTTATTTTTAACAATCCTAAGTAATACCACAAGTAGACAAAAGTGCAATTATCTTTTTGGTGCAAACAGGGCCGTCTTTAATGCGGGGAAAAAGGGGCAGCTGCCCCGGCCCTGTCATTCCTAGGGGGCCCAAACCAGCTGCCCCTTGAGCCCGCTGGCTGCTGTGGTGCTTGCGGGCAGACCACTGCGGGCCGCACGATGAGGGGCCCATCGGGTGGCCCATGCTCTTAGGGCCACCCGATGGCAATGAATCTCCAGGGGCCCAGTCAGCACTGCGGCGCTTTAACAGTGCGACCGGGCCCCCAGTGATGAGGTCAGCGGTAGGAGGAAGTGCAGTCACTTCCTCCTAGCTAACACAGAGAATGCCGCGTGGGAGGGAGGAAGAGAGGAGGAGCGCGGACTGAGAGTGCTCAACTCCCAACAGCCTCAGACAGCCACTGGACAGCAGGTAAGTCACCCTCCTGCACCCAAAAGGTAGGAAACAGGAGGGTGACTGAAATTGTATATTTTTCATGCATGTCTGTGTGTATATATCTGTCTGCATCTGTATGTGTATATGCATGTGGGTCTGTGTGTGTATCTGTCTGTATGTATATCTGTGTATCTTTATGTGTGTATAGCTGTCTTTATGTGTATATGCATGTGTCTGTATCTGTGTGTATCCGTCTATATGTGTATCTATGTGTCTGTATGAGTCTCTGTATGCGTATTTGTGTATGTGTACCTGCATGTATGCCAGTGTGTCTGTGTTTCTGTGTATCTGAATATGTGTCTGTATGTGTTGGTGTGTGTTTGTGTAACTGCATATGTCAGGGTGTGTTTGTCTGTTTATCTGTGTTTTAGTGTGTCTGCATGTTTGTCAGCGAGTATCTGTATGTGTGTATCTGTGTATGCACCTGTGTGTCTGTCTTTGTATGTCTGTGTATTTAGATGTATGTCTGAGCCTGTGTATGTGTGAGTCTGCATTTGTGTTAGTGTTTGCATCTGTGTGTATTTTCACTAGGTAAAAGTGTGACTGTCTACGATCTGCTTTTTTTTTTTGTGTGTGCATGGTCCCATTGCTCCCCACCCCCAGGAGAAAAATAGCTTACTTGTGTTTTTTCTTTTGTGTAATTTTATGTAATTGGGTATATGATTTTAAATAAACGTATGGAAGGGGGAAGAAAAATCAAACCTGCATACATGGAAAGCCAAATAAGTGCATCTGATTATACAGGTTGTTATGAAATCAGAATGTCTGTCTGAATCCTGTGGCTTAAGTCCTTATCTGACAGATTGTAGGCCAATAAAAATTTGAACTCTCCTATGTTAACCTTGTTTGTTATACATTTTAAAACAGACACATCTATAAAGATTTAACAGATTGCTTAACAGTCCAGGCACACAATGCAAAGGAGGACAAGAACACAAACTGACTTTTCTTTTGTCCCACTATTGGTAAAATTGGGAACTGTGACAAACATGTAGTGGAAGCACATCTTTAGATGCACTCCTGCTATGGTTAGGGCTCTAGGACCCTGAGAGCATTGAAAACTCACTCCATGTATGGTCTTATCATGATGGACCGATCTGCGAGATCAGCTGACAGCCTGATTTGCATTCACACCAAGCTGACCTGCCAATTTGTAAGCAGCTAGCTATCCTCACGTTTTCTACATAAACTACAATACCAGAGTAATTGCTGTATCTTCAAGGGTTTTTAATAGGCGTGTGCATTAATATTTGGGTTCTCTAATTAATTTAAAAAAAAAAAATAATAACTTAAGGCAGTAATTGGTTCTTAACCCCTGGGAAAGGGCCCACATTTGTGTGTGTCCTAATTTTTCTCACTAAATAGTGGAAAAATGCTATGTACAGCAAAATATATACATTTTTGCAGTGCACCGACTGAACCATTTTTGCGTCCTTTAGGCTTGTATGACTCATCCCAAAACCCTAATTCAGAAATGTCATATTTTAGGGGAAGAATGGTTTGGCCAAACTGACTTTTCTTGACGTGCTTGTAAACAATTGTGTCAACAATGAATGGAAGGAGGGCATCAGTGACTCCAGACAATGTTAAAATTTATATTCTAAAATGTTTAAAATGCCCAATTGGGCTAATGAGGTGCTAACCTGAGCAGCAAAGGGTAGCTGTGCTTTGCTCAGTGTCCGCTTACTGCTTTCAGCCAATCGCAGCTGGTATGAATTGGCATGGCTAGAAGGAAGTATTGTAATCTCTGCCTTGCTCATACTTGTGGGTATAAGGGTGTAAACGGCTTGAGAGGGGTTAAAGTTGTAGTATACAGGATGTTTAGGGCTAGAGTTGTTACATTTTGTATGGGGGGGAGCCTACATACGCTGTTTAGTTTTGAGTTAAACATTTTTTAAAGTGAGTGCTGACATTTTGAAGGCTTATTTGCAAAGTACTCACCCAATATGTCTGTACAAAGTGTATATAGAAAGCACTACATACAGCAGAGGGCGCCAGACACCAGTTAAATGTGCAAACCGCAACAAATGTATTTACCATAGGGAATGGAGTTCCACTTCCAAATGTGGTAAAAGGCAAAATAATCAGTGTTGTACATGTATAGCTTCTGACTGATTCCTCTTCTGCAACTGTCACTAGTCTAATACTATCCTTACCTTTTTGTGTCATTTTACCCCACTCCCTCTAGCATGTAAGCTCTTTGAGCAGGGCCCTCAACCCCTCTGTTCCTGTGTGTCCAACTTGTCTGGTTACAACTACATGTCTGATTGTCCACCCATTGTAAAGCGCTGCGGAATTTGACGGCTAATAATACTCACTATGCATAAAAGTACAAATACAAAAAAATGTGCAAATAGACTTTGCCACTAGGGCTCCAAACAATCACTTAGATAATCTGTCCAAGATTTGGAGTGCAGTGGTCCCAGTCCTAGATATAGATCCACTAAATTAAAAAAAAAAACTTACATTTAAAACTAATCTAGTGTAGTATAAAATTATGCATTGACTGGCCAGGGCAACCAATCCAAGTGAACCTAATGAATGGATACCAAGGAAAAAAGGCCAATGAATAGTAACACTCTTCCTGTATTTAAATGGGCAAGAATTGGGTGTTTTAGTTGGGTTGTATCTGTGGTTGGACAAGCTTACAGTATTGGCCTTAATCAATGGTATTACCATTTCCTCTAAGTAGCTACTTGGAACAAAATAAATTGGGATGTACCTGAAATCATTGTGTGTAGAAAGAAATCCGTATTGGCTTGAGATGTAACTGGTAAATGCGAAGACAGCAGTTCCCAAACACTGTGCTGCGGCGAGCACACAGGGGTGTCACAAGATATTTTCCTGGTGCTCTATCTCAGCACCAGGGACTGTGCCTCACTCTCTCCTGCAGGACCGGAGGGGAGATCAGAGCTGGCAGGGGAGGGGGAGAGGACTCAGGGGAGCTCTAACCTGCAGGTTATTTTTTTTTTTTTTTATATATATATCTTTATTTTTAAATCTACCAGTGCCCCTCCCAAGATTGGGTTCTGGATCTGCGCCTCAACGGCAAGCATTTCTGCCGAACAAGGGCCCAGTATATGCTGCTGTGCTGTAAATGTCTACAACCTAGAGGTTGTGTTTTTTGTTTTTTGTTTTTTTAATTTGGGGCACCTTGGTAAAATATTGAAATGTTAAGAGTGCCTTGAACCTAAAGTTTGGGGACCACTGCCTTAGACAATGTTTACCCTTTTTGTATATATTTTTTTTTTTTTATTGTGCATTATGTTAAAACTACTTTAATTGTACAATGAAAGTAAATGAACAGGTGCAAGATGTATTTTTTGTTAACTGGCCGTGAGGTGCTAATTGTTCTGGGACAGACTTGGCTTTTGTCAAAGTGCTCTTGGATACCAAGTTTGGTGATCATACCTACAGACTCTTTTTTTTTTTTTTTTTTTTTTCCAGGGCCAAAAACCCAGCTCATTCAACAAAAACCATGCTTGTAATCAAGAGAATGTATCATGACTTTGTGAACAAGCACATAGCATCTAAAACAAAATTCACTCTGGGAGGATTTCAGTCCTTCAAATTATGTATGCTAGCAAACAAGTGTTTCTGACCAAAAATGTCTAAAAATAGCTGCCCCACAGAAAGTGTAAGCCAGGAGATGAAAATATATTAACTAGTAACTTTAATACACATGGGGTTATCTTCCATGCAGTCTTTTATTTTTAATCCTAATAGAATAACTGACAATTTTTACTTTGCTTAAAGGGGCACTCACTCTGCACTATAGCCACAAACATTCTTGTGTAAATATGCCCACTCACAGGCAAAAATTTGTTGGATTTAAAGGACCACTATAGTGCCAGGAAAACACTCATTTTCCTGGCACTATAGTGCCCTGAGGGTGTCCCCACCCTCAGGGACCACCTCCCGCCAGGCTCTGGGGGGAGGAAGGGGTTAAACTTACCTCTTTCTCCAGCGCTGGGCGGGGAGCTCTCCTCCTCCTCTCCTCCTCTTTGGCTGAATGCGCAGGAGCCACATGCACATTCAGCCAGTCCACAGGAAAGCATTCACAATGCTTTTCCTATGGACGCTGGCATCTTCTCACACTGACTTTCACAGTGAGAAGCATGCAAGCGGCTGTCAAGAGACAGCCACTGGAGGCTGGATTAACCCATTTATAAACATAGTTTCTCTGAAACTGCTATGTTTATTAAAAAAAAAAAGTTAACCCTAGCTGGACCTGGCACCCAGACCACTTCATTAAGCTGAAGTGCTCTGGGTGCCTATAGTGGTCCTTTAAAATTGCCACTGTCACATTTAGATGTAGCTAATCAGCTTTATAATAGAATGTCCAATTTAGTGGATGATTCTATTTATCTAAATGGTTTATATACCTATGCTTATTCTATGTATTATGAAAGATTACATTAGTTTTCACGTTAAACATTATATAATCTGCAAAAAGTGGTGGAAATAGTGGCACTTTAACTGATATATTTTAAGAGTGGACAATTCTGTTCATGCTCACCCAGACATTGCCTGATGCTGGAAAGCCTAGACAGTTTGAAGTGGGCATTGATTATCACCCTAACTTCAGGTGCTCCTTCAATATTACAAAATATTGCTGTCACATGACTGTCTAATCCAGTGGTAGTCAACCTTTTTCTACCTACCGCCCACTAATGCATCTTTCTTGATGGAAAAATTTCCTTACCGCCCTCCAGTTTTCGCGCAAGTGCAGAATATTTTTGTAGAAAGGAGGGTGTTTTTAAAAAAGTACGTACATTTATCTTTTTATTTCTACTTAATGCATGTTTATAATGTTAACTTTATAAAGTTTAATGAGAAAACAAAGTAAATTGAAATTACCTTTACTAGTGATTAATGATCCTTGAGGCTGATGCTGCAAGACTAAATATTTGATATCTGGTTCGACTTTCGTAAGGAACAAACGAAGGTCTCCTTTCGGTGATATTCAAACGACTTCTGTTTGTGCATAATTTCTCATCTGTGCGTCATCTCATCTCCCTCCTCAATTCCCCGCCCCCCCCTTTTTTTTTTTAACCTTCCTTATAGCAATGCCCAGTAGGAAGGCTTAGCTAGGTAGCCCACTTACTATAGCAGGCAGACTCATAGACGGACGCACACAAAATATTTTAGTCACCCTCCTGTTTCCTACCTTTTTAGGTGCAGGAGGGTGACTTTCCTTGGGGTCCAGTGGTGGCTCAGGTGCATGGGAGTCAGAGTTCCTACTCTGACTCCCTGGTCTTCCTCCCGCGCGGTCTGTTTGTTAGCTGGGAGGAGTGACGCGCAGTCACTTCCTCTCAGCTCTGTCATCACAGAGGGCCCGGTCGCGCTGTTAAAGCGCCCAGCGCTGACCGGGCCCCCTCTCAATCCACATCCATCGGGTGGCCCTGACAGCATGGACCCCTTGGACAGCGGCCCCAGTGGTTTGCCACACGGGCCGGGGCCGCAAATGGTGACGGCGGTACCCGGTCGCAGGGGTACTGCCGGCTCGCTCTCCCGCCCACACAATCTCTGAAATTCCTACCGCCCACCTGGAATCCTGAAACTCCCACTAGTGGGCGGTAGGGACCAGGTTGATCATCTAAATTAAATAAAACTTCCAAAATCATTAAACAATTTGGGGGGAGAGGAGAGAGTCCTCAAACTTAACTTGCACACTTTATGTATGAGGTTTTTTTTTTTTGTTTTTTTTTATACATTAATGTGATTCCCAATATAATGTTTCTTTCTCTTATTTTAAATTTCAGGAAAAACAGAGGTTATAAATGCCAGAGAAGTGGCACCGTTAAATGCCAATGAAAGCATGTTTGGAAATAGCAGTCAGTTGTCTCAGAGAGGTGAGATGAATAAGGACCACCTGTTGATCCATACAATGTCATTGACCAACTTCAAACTTGAGCCTGTGCCAAACACAAATGATGTGGCGAATCAAATTTACCATAGAAAAAAGATACACGATTTGCTATCAAACTAATGCACACTCAATCAAGCATGCATGAGCAACAATTTAAACAAAAGGGCCACTAAAATAATCGAAGTCATAAAAGCTGATGATCAGTGTAGCTTTTAATTAGCTTTTTATTTTATTATGCAGTTACTTTGCAATGTTGTACAAACATACACTTGTGAAATATGACATTGGGGTTTGTTCGTAAATGCATTGAATGATGCTCTTGCTCTACGCTTTCTGGGGACTGTTACCTAGCACTCACTTGTTCACTCCTCTCCTTACTTTCTTACTAGTGGGTAGAAGCTCCTGGTATGTAGCCTGGACAAAAAAAACGTAGATATGAGTGTAGAAGGGGGACATGCCACTGTATTAGACCTAAACAGTAAGCGCACGCATGTTTTGTTTTTGTTTTTTACCTTTGCCTGCCAGTCAACACTATCTTTGTTCTCCTAAATCTTCTTAATTTTCCTATACTTAAATAAAAAAACAAAACACCCATTACTCTAAACATGCTCTTGTTTTGTGTAAAGAATTATTTAAATCAATGGGCTCGGAGCTTTAGCTCAACAAGGCCCTTTAGTTGGTTTCTTTTATCTTTTTACTCTAACACGGTCTGTCCAATGCTATTGGTCATATGAATTGAAGGACAGGGCAACTGAATATGCTTAGAATATTGTATTGACAGTCCTAAGATGCAGCTACTAATCCTTGACCAATCCACTGTGAGCAAAGTTTTAATATTTTGAGGTTCTCAAGATGGAATGGTGAATATCTGTGTTTTAATTCTTAAAGTAGCCACTTCATTTTGTAAGATAATTTTAAATTGGGTTTTTGCAATTCCCATATGTTCAATTTTCCCTGGTAATGTTTGACAACATTGTTAATAATTTTAAGATGTTAAAGTATTGGTGCATGGTTGCCAATATGGCTTTGTCTGTATGTTCTAGTCATATACACACTAGCTCGGACAGATTTCTTGACATTCAGCAGAAAGAGTATATATTCAAAGTTTGCTGCCTAAAGAGCTGGGGTTGCTCTACTTCTTTTTGGTGAGACTATGCTGGAGTGTATTGATTTATAGAGGACTTTTTTGCAAAGCTTTTAATTTTGCATCTTATCGTTTCTCAACATGTTCAAAAGCAAACTTCTTCTTATAGTAAATACTATTAAATAGTTACAGAATAAACTTAACTGAAAAAATAAATGCTGGACAATCTGGTTTCAGAGGTCAGTGTGGTTTTCTAAACCAATGGGGCTCCTCTTATGGCTTTGGACATCCAAACTGGAGCCCGGTGGTACACAAACTCAAGACAGAAGGTGGTGGCTTTGGTTGGACACTTAGTACATGCTGTCATGGCAAACAGGACATGTCCTTCAAATCTAAAATTTGATTCATTTTATCACATGAAGCTTTGATCAATGCTGATATAGTCCTAGGCTTACATTAACTCACATTTTAAGACTAGGCAATGAGTGTATGGTGTTTACTAGAGTCCATAAATCTTGTAATATTTGCCTTCTCTCTGTTACCAATATGACTGCCTCTCCTAAATGTCCTTTTATTGTCCTCACTTCTATCTCTGGTTAATTTCTTTAGGAGGACTTTCTATTGCAGTACCTGGGGAAATCCGAGGATATTATGAAGCACACAAGCGGCATGGCAGATTACCATGGAAAAGGCTCTTTGAACCAAGCATTAAGTTGGCACGTGAGGGGTTTAAAGTAGGATTGGGTCTATCCCAAGGCCTCACAGCAAGCAAGATTGTTATTGAAGGGGACAAGTCACTATGGTAAAGCATCTCCCTTAACTGTCTCTAGTGTGTCCATTACGTTGAGTTAATGAAGTTATTACTTTAGAAGCACTTGCATTAATTGAAACCAATGAGCCAATAAAATCAGCTACATTAAGTTGCAGAATGTTCCAATATAACCAGCTTGAGCCAGACTAGTGCATATGGTAGTTGAGAGATATATAGATATATTGGATTATCACTCCCACTGCTATGAACTAGAAGTAGGCATAGCCTTTAAGAAAGTGATTTGGTTTCAAAATGAACTGTTCTTCTAGACTGGGCAGAGCTACCACCATCAAGAAGTGCCAATCCCAGGGAATTGGCTCTGTATATGGAGATTTCTGCATGTGCAAGAGTACAGCAGTGACATCGGCACAGCGCCAGGAGCTGAAAAGAGCCCTCTGGAATATGGTGGCATAGGGCCAGTTCAGGTATGAAGAACTTGCCTTTCCCTGCATTCTCAGACGCTTTAAGTATGTGCGTTACTGGTTTACCATGAGTGGTGTTCAAAGAGCATGGCCTTCAGGATACTGTTATCAGTATAGCGAAAGTTACTTGGCAGGAGTGAAGGCTGAAATCATTCTGAAAATGGCTAACAGATGGCATGACGCTCTGGAATTGGCAGTCAAAGCAACAAACTATGAAAAATCTTTGTAACTGAATACACAACGCAGGATGAGTGCAAGAAGAGCTTACTCATGATAACCAGTGTTGGATCTGTTCCGACTAGATACTAATGATATCATATTACATGCTTCTGTAGAAATAAGCCTGGAAATTGGAGATACCATGGTTATCGGCGCACAATCTTTAGTGTAATGTTATGGTAGGATGACAGCCAAAAACTATACATAAAACCCTGCAAATATGATAAAGCTGGAAACCACATACCCTACTCTCAGTGCAAACAGTGGCTGTCATTCTTCTTGGTGAATAAGCTATTGTGCGTTTATAAAGATTCTTATTTTCTTTAGGCCAAGTACAGGTCACCCCAATTTACAAAACATGCTGGTGTTTTCACTCAAATGGGAGAGCTGAAATATATGGGGTGGGAGGGGGGGGTGTTTTGTGGGGGTTTTTTTGTGTTTTTTTTTTCCCGGACTTGACCCTTGGCATCACTCATTACTGTCCCTACGTCTCCTGCATGGAGCAAGTGTTCGGAGTCAGTGGGAATGGTCCAATCCATTACTTCTGAGAAGCAGTTGAGTTGATCTTGAGAGGGATGCTGTCAGTCTTTCGGGACAGTATGGGGAGCTTTGCTTAGTGCTGGATTCCAGGTTTATAATTTAATAGGCTTTCATGGGTAGAGGACCTAACTCTTACTTACTCTTACTACTACCAATAGGGAATTGTAAATTAAAATGTGCATTTTTTGAAAAAAATACTTAAGTGTTGAAAACCAGTGCCCCCTAGAGGTGCCTAATGGGGAAATCTGACCCTGACTTTAAATATGTACAGATGGAGCCAACTATTTGTGACTGCTGAAGGCAGTTTGCTGAAACAGATTTTTATATAGGGGTTTCCTAGCAAAAGGGTGAATAGTTACGCAATCGACAAATGTCTGTTTTTAAAAACTCTCCAAGCACCATGACCACTAAAACCTGGTATACCAGGCTGTGCTCCCCATATTGCTGCAGCCCTTCTCTCTCTTGAGAAGACCTGCATCAGCTGATTACTATCAGTCACTGAGCTAAGCGTTGCACTGCCTGGTGGACCCCAAGTAAGATATCAAAAGATTAGTAAATGGATCCACTACCTACATGGGGGTGCCAGAGAACTGCTGGCACCATAACATTTATAGTGCTAATGCAGATGTAACTCTTCCTAATTGACTGTTAATTTTGTCCAATTTAGATCTTGATTGGCTGAGCAAGTCAATCAGTGCTGTAGAAATTTGGACTAAATAGATTCACACAACTGGGGTATGGCTTCCTTGGTTTTCTAGCACCATAAACTCTACAATTAACTATAGTAATCCTGATTAAAATGCCCCTTTAAATAAAGCCCTCCCCCAGTATTAAACAAATGATGATTTGTAGAATTACAACATTAGGAAAATGGAAATTTGGCTTTTACATGGCGTAAGGGATATAGAGGTAGTGAATTCACTTTTAAAAATTTTTTATTTTTTTTTAAACAAAGCTGTTACAAATGAGTGTGGGCAAACAATTGCATTTTAAATACGTTTAGATCGAAGTCATCTTTTAAGTCCCACAGATACCAGTGTAGAAATGCTGTTCTGCAGTACTTTGTTAAAGTGTATATCATAGGCAGTGCTGCTTTGTATCTAATGTGGGTAGAAGTGTGCCCTTCTGAGAACATGTACCCAATCGTCCCAATGACCAGTTGTGTGGCTTGTCCGTGAAGTGGTGGGTTTGTCATTCTGGTCATTGGGCCTCTTAACAACGGGAGTTGTGTAGACACTTGGCACTATGAGGTTTTGGGGTTTTTTTGCGGCTTGGTTGTGTTGGTAACAATACATGTAGGTAGAGAAGGATAAGGGGTGAAACAAGAGTGAGAAGGGAAAGTGTCCCAGTTGGTGACAATGGATGTATCCGCATTCTAAAGAAACCTTTGTTGGTTGTTAGGCTGGGGGAGGTCCTGTGCTTGGACCATGAATGGTGGTATATCTGTTATGCATTACTTGTCTGAGTATGTTTCCTATGTTACTGAAATCCGTGTCCCTAATGTGTGGTGGTTTTTTTTTGAGATTCATGCTCACGAATTCACATTTTAAGAACCTGTAACTAATGCTTTGAGTAAACTATATTGATTCCTCCACTGCAATATCGGGTATTTGAGAAGAATATGACATGTTGATGCTTTTGTATGTGTGCTAGAAATGACCTAGATGAGAAGTGTTATGTCAGTTTACTTCTTACATTGCAAGAGTATGTAAAGTACACATCTATACTTTACTGATCTTCGCCGCTTTTATCAGAGTATGCTGGAAAATGTTTGATTACATGAAATTGCAATAATCTCTAATTTTGATAAATCTACAGTTGTAATGTATCCTGTATAACAGTGGCGCTGGGCCCCCTCCATGGGCACGCGGCCATAGGTCACCGGGGAGGGGGTCGCTGGCGCCGGTTACACCAGTTGGCAGCAATGCAGAGCAGGCAGTCTACTCTGCTTTCGTGTCGGGAGGACCCAGAAGCACGGGGAGGGATCTGACAAGCAGCTCTCCTGTCGTCCTGCGAGCAATATGTCTGGTGTTGCCGCGTGTTACCATGGCAACGTGCCACACAGGAGGACAGGACAGCTGCAGCCAGGCACATACTTGCCACCAGGAATGGCTGTCTTCCCCCTGCCCCCCCTCCTTTGCCAAAGGTAAGAAGGGGATAAACCTTTTCTCCCACTCCATCATTTAAAATTTGTATCATTTAACTTTTTATAAATTAACTTTTTTTGATTTAAAAAAAAAAAAAAAAAAAATTAGTTTGAACAACTGTAAGAGTTTGATGGGGGGGAAAAGTTGGCATGTATTGCGGTTTGGGCACTCTGGCTTAAGTTCACCATCACTGCTGTATAACAACAAGATTAAAACCCACATTGACATACAGATAGCCCGACTGACCCCAACCCGGAGACCGCCTCAAACCGAGAGAAATAACCACACAAGGGCGCCACGGCACGGGTTCTGAACACAGACGCTCATACAAGGCAACCAATGGGGACGGACCGCCTTATCCCGCTACAAAATCTGACCTAGATACATTATATAGCACCCTAACATCGGCTAACCAATTCACGCAATGGCATCCACTGTGCAATATATCGTAAAACAATATCACCATAGTCTCTACGCCCTATGAGACCGCATACCAATCTGCTTAAGAAAGGCACAATACAAAACAAGATGCCGGCCTCAAAAAAAACCACAGGGACCATGTGTTATAAGCCTCTGTGTAGGCTACTGCTGTAAAACTACTGATGACACAACCCCACATCCCAAACCATTTACTAAGTATACAACACTGCCCCTGCATCGGTAAACTGCTCTCAATCAGAGGTTACGAAATGCCCATCATTACCCAGGTCAGAACGACTACGAAATATGTAATTAGCAAAGGCGTATGTGTGTGTGTTAATGGACTGTGTGTGTGTTAATGGACTGTGTGTGTGTTAATGGACTGTGTGTGTTAATGGACTGTGGGTGCTGTGTGTGTGGGTGGAGTTGGGGGTACATTAATTGCTATCCCCCCTCCCTTCTTACCTTTTTGTAGGGAGGGGGGATCCTTGTTCCTGCTGATTCCTTCCCTGGTGGTCCAGTGGAGAGTGAACTCTAGCGCTAGAGTTCACTCTCGCGAGATTTGAGTGTTGCCGTGGCAATAGCTCCGCCGGGTCCTTTCCTGCCTCCCTCCCTGCCTGTGGGGAGGGAGGCTGAGAGCAGAGCCGGCGCTCGGATAGCGCCGGCTCTGCATGAGCCGACAGGGGAGATCCTGAGATCTCCCCTGCCGGTCTCAATCCATAGGCGTGCTGCGTGGATTAGGGTGTGCCCAGGCACACTCCGTGCGCACGCCTATGGTAATTAGCCTTACTCTTGTTTGTTTGACGTCATCTGCCTCTGTGTAGGCAACAATGCACCCTCTTTTCAAATCTGTTGTATGTCTGCTAACATGTTGCATACGAAATAAAAAAAAAAAAACACATTGAACATGCACAGGGTTATCTGCTAAAGTGAAAATCCGAATTTTAAGGCCTAGAGTAGCTTAAACAGACCAGTGCTGATTTCAGTTTGGCTTTTTTTTAACCTTTTATTTTGAATTCTCACTTTAGTGAATCTACTTGAGTCATAAATGATCTACACATTAACATCTGCTCTCTATTTTGCCACAGTGAGGTGTTTTGCAATGCAGAAGGCAAAGTGTTGGAGCAAGGCGATACTGTGAAGCTACCCAAACTGGCAGAAACACTGCAAACACTGGCAGAAGAGGGTCACGAGTCTTTCTATACAGGTTCCCTTTCCACGAAAGTGCTGCAGGACATCAAAGATGCAGGTGAAACTTAACGAGGTGGGATGGGTTATAGACAGAGGAAGATGAGGGGCCTAGATGGAGGTTTTTGGTTTTTTATAAAACCTGTGTTAAAGTAACACTGCATACAAGATGTGAAAGCTTTGTATTTTCACTTTTATTAGCTAAATGCTGGGCTCACTGAAGTCTGACACACATTGTTCTTTGTAAACGCCAGTACCACAGCTCTGGCACGTTAGGGACTTCGACCAAATCAATTACTGCAATGTGTAAAGTTTATTCAGTACAGTATGCCAGTATTCAGTTGAATATCCGTTCATATTGACATCAGTTTATAGGCTGACATGCCTTTAAAATCCAATGGAAACTTAATCTGGCAGGGTTTAGTAGAACTTGGTTTGGTAGAACACTACAAATTCTCTACTCTCCAAGTTACAGTAGGAAAATAAAATGCACACTTGGTAAACAAACTAACTTGTTCTAAAGGGATATTTCTTTAAATCGATATTGCGTTACTCCTCTGACATTTTCTCACAGGTGGAATTATTACGGAGGAAGATCTGAGAACCTATGAAGCAGAAATCTATGACAATCCACTTCGTTACCAACTAGGCGACTACACTTTAGTCACCCCCAATGCTCCACTGAGTGGTCCAGTTCTGGGTCTCATGCTAAACATCCTAAAGGGTGAGTATTCTCATAGAGTTGCATACTGGATAGTCTGTGTGGAATCTCTCTCGTACACACAGTGATATTTAGCTTTTTCTGTAAAAGAACAGAGCTATAATATTAGGATGATCCATCAAGAAGTCTGCATATTGCATGACCTGTACTATACATAGCATTTATTAAACATTGTAATTCTTCTAGATTTACCTGCCCACTAGCACATGTAAATCTCTTAAAATGCTACATCAATCCATGAAATGTAATAACCGCAGTGTAAAGTACAAATAGGTGCTGCCATGCTTTTAGGTTTTTTTGTTTTTTTGGTAACCGGACAGACTGACTTCCTACTGCTGTTTTCCAGGTTTCAATTTTACTGAAAAGAGTGTCTTGACGGACAGTGACCTTGGGTTGACATATCATCGCATTGTAGAAGCTTTCCGATTTGCCTATGCCAAAAGAACTTTGCTGGCCGATCCAAGATATGTGAATATTACAGAGGTAATATTCAGCATCTCTGCTACCATTCCTTTTTCAACTTCTTTGGCTGTGTCCTCTCATAGCACTTTCTCAAATGTATACAGATTGACATTTTAATTTTTCTACTTGCACTACTCTGTGACCTAAATCTGAGAATAGGTGTTCTGAATTCCCCATGTCGGTCACATAAGATGTATTGCACAGCTAAACTATAGTCATACCAGCTCTTATGGGATATTCTTTGTAACTTAAAGGAATAGTCCAGACCAAAAAAATGGGAGGGGAAATCACAATTTAGTAGGTACTAAGCTTTTATGGCACTGAGTAGATGCATGAACGCCCAGTGACATTCTGAGAATTATTATTCTGTCCTGTGGCTCTGCTGACCACCACTGAGTGGAAAAAATACCCATAGTAACAGTTATTTGTGTGAACTTTGTGCATATTGAGTACATTGCATCATATGGGGACTAAACAGATCTACACAGTGTAGACATATTAAAACTATTTTTGCCTGCTGACTGTTCGGTACGAAGAACAATATCTGGAGTTTGTAGTCGAAATGGCTCTGTTAAGAGACCTCCAGTGTCTTTAAGTCAAACCGCCGTTTAGTAGACCTTCCCCAGCTGCAGTACAGTCCCCGTTCACTTAATCTATATCACACGAACCAAATGCAGGGGAAGCGACAATCTCCCGATCGAAATCCGTGAACGGCTCCAAACTCCCGAACGGTAATACACGAACTGCTGGTAACCGTCGAACAGCAATATTCCCCAAGCGGCTTTCGCTCCATCCAGCAGTCTCTAAACGTGAAGAAGAAATCCCCCCAATAACGAGACAGAAGCTCCGTATTGAGGGTCAAACAGAATCTGGCTTTACTGTGGGCTACCTGCCCGTATTTATGCAGGTCTCCCACCTGGTGGACACTCCCCTAGGGGACCAAATGGGAGACTTAAATTACAGACAGATCTGGGGACATCCCAGACACACAGTCACAGATTTTACCCACAGTGCATTATGATTCCCTCCCCTCTGCCCTGGAGTTAATTACCAAGTAACTCAATTAACTCCAGGACAAAGCCAGTCGCCATCTTAGACATAAAATAATAAAAGACATAAAAATACATAACTACATAAAAACCGAACATTTCCCATTCGTATTACATGTCCCCAGATAGCCTGGATCTGAGTGCATATTATTAGCGAATAGCACTCAGATCCCACACACATAGTTCAATCGCCATGGAGTCAAAGTTCTTACAGTCTTTCGGTATACGAATGACTCCATGGGAAGGCTATCTGGGTTAAGTCTTTTCGTATGCTCTCAATCTCCCGAACGGCCGGTGTTCGCATGCTTTCGTGGAGGCAGCCAGGTGTTCCGTTGTTTCAGCGGTGTTCGGCAGAAAAAGTGTCCGTTTTCAGTTCCATAGAAATAGAGCCAAACACCGCTGGGCGTTCGCGTGATTTAAAATGGCCGCTGCCTCGTGGTCGACATACGAACGACGACCACCCTGAATTCGGTTTAATTGAGAAGTGTCTGCGGTTAACCACCCGTTCTAATTGGGATCACTTCGTTAACCAGCAGCACACTCCTCACTTGGGTGGCCGTTTGTTCGGCAGGTTTGTTCGGGAAAAAGAGTCATTCGAATGTCTGGGCTGTAGAAACCAGCCATTCATACGAACGGGGGACAAACAGACGAACGTAGTAAAAATGCAAGCAGACAGATGGTTCTGTCACAGGCTCCTTAAGGAAACAAAATGGTTTTGCCACAATCTTTACAGGGCCCTCTGGACTGTGTGAATAACTCTAGTGGTTATGGTGCCAGGACCATACTAACAAAGTTACCTGTAGTGGTTATTGTGTTCTTTAAGATTAGAAGGCTTTAGATGCCATCTTGGTAGATGGTTTGTAAAAATAGAAGCTGCTCATGTGAAATTCTTCAGATCCAAAGTAACTGAACTGCAAGGCATCCTTCTCAGTGTAGGATTTGGTTACTTTGCTGTTTTATCCCATCGTACATTAATCCCCCTCCCCCCCCGATTTGATATCTAGAAGGTAAAGGAGTTGCATCCTAAATCAGTGATCTGGCTTGTTAACTTTTATTGCCGATGCAGGTGTTAAAGAATCTGACTTCCGATGCATATGCGTCAGAATTGAGAGGGAAGATCACAGATACCACCCATCCATCAGACTACTATGATCCTGAATTCTATTTACCAGAAAACCATGGCACTGCACACCTGTCAGTCGTGGATGAGGATGGTAATGCAGTCTCTGCCACCAGCACCATCAACCTATAGTAAGCTCATGGACCGTTTCTATGAATTGTGGTTTGTCCTTGTCCTTTCCTTTGTTCAAATTTTTCAATCACTTGCTTTGTAGTGAAAGGGGTTAAGGGCTATAAAGTGTCATCTTTGTTAAGAAAAAAATCAGGGATACTGAAAGTCAATTGAACATCAATTTTATCGAAAACTTATGATACAGTGGGCAAATATTGCCCAAGTGTCATACAACAGTTACATTTGACATGAATAGGATTGTGTGAAAGTTAAAAAATTATTTAGCAATCAAATAGGTAGATTATGATATAAAGTGCTATATAGACTATAAATCTATTTTTGCTTGCAGCTTTGGGTCCAAAGTTCGATCTAATGTGACGGGAATCATTTATAATGATGAGATGGATGATTTTGGTTCTCCTTTTATAACCAATGGATTTGGAGTCCCTCCTTCTCCTGCAAATTTTATTAGACCAGGTAATGATCTTGCTTACACTTGCAAAGAAATCATTCAGCAGTAAAAACCAAAAATATAATATGGAGTGAAATCTGGATTTCACTAGCTGTTTTTACTTCAAGCAAGCATTAAGCTCCAGGTTTCAAACGTATACATTTATTGGTAATAGTTTAAATTGCATGTTTTATATAAAATATGATTTGAAAAACTGCATGCATAATTATTGCATTTTACCCATATAGACTTTAAAAACAATTTTTGAAAATGTACTTATTGCTTTTATTTATTGTTGAATTAAATTTGGCTGTTTTTGTAGGGAAACGACCCCTCTCTTCTATGGTCCCTTCTATTGTGTTGGACAAGAACAATCAGGTGCACATGGTGGTTGGAGCCTCCGGAGGCACTAAAATTACCACCGCAACAGCTCTGGTATGGTTTTATTTTATATAATAATGGTGGAAAAGTGGAGTCCTGGGGAGATTAGAAACCTAGAATGTGACAGCAGATATGAACCACTTGGCCCATTTAGTCTGCCCAATATTTGAAATACTTTCATTAGGGAGAGGTTGCTAAATTATCCACTACACCAAGCATGTCAAACTCAGTCTAGCACGGGCCAAATAAACCAGGTTTAAGTTTGTGGGCCACAAAAAAACCTTACATTTTCATAGAAATGTTTGGCTTGTTTTTGGAAAAGTACAGTATAAAAAAACCATCCCTCTATTAAAACTCAGTCCTCCCCATATACTAAATCCCAGCACCCTCCTCTAGCCAACAAGCAGACTCCACTCACATTGCCGCTGCCAGTATGTGACTCGAGTCCGGCCTCTGGTATAGCCCAAATGGTGCTGTTGGCACTCTGTGCCAAAGCAGATCCTCTCGTTACTCCTTGAAACCCTTTAAAGATGGAGCACATCGTAATGTGACATGGCATTGCATGTCTCAGTGCACCTCCAGGTATTTCACTGTCCAGCTATGGCCATTGCCACAGACTGCCACACACACAGACTGCCACACCCCCTCCTCCCCCCCGTAAGGAGCAGGTGAACCCATAAGGTACATAATTGGAGGGTTGCTTTAAAAAAAATCTTTCTCCCCCTCTTTCTCCCAACACAGAAATCCTAATTTACCTTTCCTGATTAAATACTATGTTTGTTTTTTTGTTTTTTCTTGGTAGTTTGAATGTTAAGTGCTTGTTAAATGTGATTGTTGCTTATGTGAAGATTCCCTACAAAAGAGGTCTGTGTGGTAACCTAGTATGTCTTTGTAGGTCATTATAAACGTGCTGTGGTTTGGTTATGATGTAAAGAAATCTGTGGAGGAATCTCGGGTGCACAACCAACTTTTCCCCAATGACACCACCTTAGAGGAAACTATAAATCCAGTGAGTAATCTTAAGCTATGACTTAAACTGTGAAGCCTGCAGGAACTAAAATGGAATAACTCGCTTGCCATGCAGTTGTCTCTCTGAATCGGAGATTGATAACTCATACCAACTGAACATGAGGGCTTGTATAGGATACGTCTGGCTTCAGCCAAACTCTGGCCCTCCAGAAGTTGCTGAACTACAACTCCCATGATTACGTGGGAGTTGTAGTTCAGCAACATCTGGAGAGCCAGAGTTTAAGGAAGCCTGGTATACATACCTGCTCTTAAAACCTTATTCATAAACTAATACTTACCAGGCCCAGTGACTACAGGACTTTCACATCTCATCTCCCATTCTGAATGGAAATCTTTCAACATGGCCCATATGGTGTATTCTGCAGTATGTATATGAAAAACAAATAGGGGCCCTTGTGACTTCCTTCTCACAAGTCTTCAACATTTGGTGTCTTTGCTACATGGGGAACCTCATGGGTCTACTTTCTTATGGTACTATATACTTTACAAAACTCTAATTGCTCGACAACCCATGATTCTATGAATGAATCGAATGTCTGTTCTCTTTACTTTTCTTGTGTACAGGGGAAAGAAAATATTTTTTGCACTGTATTGTGTGTATATATAACCTGTTTTCCTGCACATACTTAGCCTTGTATGATCTTCCAATTTTCCACGTAATATTCATAGAAACGTTGGGGGGAAAAAGTGACACTTTCAATAGATATAAAAGGTAGAAAATGTTTTACATACTTACTGTAATTTTCTCCCCCCTGCTGTCAGGACAGGAATAATTAATCAAACAATTAATAGTCAATCTAAGCACCCCCAGTCTTGTTAAAAAGCAATAGCTGAGGAATTCAGAAGGGAGGGAGCATGATGCTGCCATGTAGAAAAGCCAGGAAAAGAAAATTATGGTAAGTATGTAAACCATTTTCTACTTTCATGGCCAAACATGGCTGCACCACTTATGGGTATTTCCCAAGCTCCCATAAAGGGTGGGATAAATTAAACCGTAGACCTCATAGATGCTCAACACACAAGGTTTAAAGCTAGGACACTTTTCCCAAAACAAGATTCTTCAGAAGAGGACAAATCCAGTTTGGAGTGTCTTACAAACGTATAATGAGGAACAAATATCCTTTACCGGTATCTCCACCCTAGAAGCCCATGAAGTTGCCAAACTTCTGGTTGGATGTGGTCTGGTGCTGGGAGCTTGGAGACCCTGGGAAGCATAAGCTTAAGTAATTGCCAGGGGATCCATCTCCTGGTGCCTGATGGAAGGATGACTAGTAGGGATGTGCATGGAAAAATATTCGGTTGGGGTTACTCCTGTTGTGCCTAATCATTAAATTCATGAAGCACCAATATCCAAAAAGTAATAATCAATTACCTAATAAGATTTATAGCGATATTGGCGGGCACACAGCCCAGTTCGAGAGGAGTGTCTTCGGCTATAGGAAAAAGAAACCACACAGAGACCAAGTTGCAGATAAGAATTCACACCACACTTTATTTTCCACAAGGGGACCCAATACAGATTAAGCTTAACTCTCATTAAGTAGTTGCATGCATTCACTTCAAAACAGCTTAGTATCTAGATATATCAGCTTAAGTATACATCACCGTTAGAGGAGCTTGTGTCCTCTGCACTTGACTGGGGAGAACTCTGGCAGTCGGCTTGGAGGGACCCTCTCTGGGAACAGCAGAGACCAGCAACACGCGTCCGCATTACAGGTGGGTAGTTCTCCAAGTGAGTGCCAAGTTTCTCCGTCTTTTATACCTTTTTAGCAAGTTTGTAACTTTTCCAAGATTTGTTATCAGTGCAGCCCAGCATGTATCTTGTCATGCGCATTAAGTAATCCGTATGGTTGATCAGGCCAGTCGTGACCACCCAAGGCTCATGCCAGACACGTGCGGTATCTTATTCTATCTATGTCCCTACTCTTATCTTTCTATACATTTGTTGGCACCAATTCCCTCTGTTCAGCACGTGGGCCTTTTTGGATATTGGCCAGACATGCTATGGAATATTCCAGGCAATGTTGAATTTCTTAGTGCGACAGTTTATGCAATGTCATCATAGCTGAATTTCTTGGTGCGACACAGGTTGAATTTCTTAGTGCAACACAGTTTAAGCCAAGTGCCATCTTAACTATCTATAATAGATTAATTTGCTCATTAGTGATCAATCATTCTTAATTAGTTAATTGGATTTTATCACAACTCCTAACCTAATCCTACCCATTTTGCTACTTTTCTGAAGTCCAAAGCACTTCAGCAGTTCAGTTCGGCATTCGGAAACATCCGAATGTTCAAAGTTCGGCCGAACTTCCATTCAGACCGAACCGAATTGCACATGTCTAATGAATAGTCTTCCTGATTTTCTGAAGTGCATGAATGTCTGTAGATTCTGAGGCACCTTACCACATTTAATTTACTACAGCTTTTTTTTTTTTTTTCTTCTCTTCCTGGTTAGATGGATTAGGGAAAAATGATGTAAGCACTATCTCCTGTTGAATGTGGAACCTAGAAACCACTTTAGGGAGAAATTCAGGTCTGGGAATAAGAACCAATCTAGCTTGGATAAGCATGGTGTATGGTTCCACTGAGCTTAGTGCCTGTAGCTCTGCGACTCTTCTGGCCGATGTTATGGCAATTAGGAAGAGTGTTGTAGTAGTCAGCAAATATATGCACAATTCTTCCAAAGGCTCAAACAGGCCACTTGTTAAGGCATCTAAAACCAGCGGAAGGTCCCAAGGAGGGGTTAATTTCTTCACAGGAGGCCTTATCCTCAGAACCGCTCTGTAGAATCTCCTAATCAGAGGGTTTAGAGCCCACCTGGTATTAGTTAAAGCAGAAATGACCAAAATTTGTACTTTCAACGTACTGAGGCTTAGACCTTTTATCCAAACCTACCTGGAGGAAATTAAATATATCAGCCACTGACTCTTCATTGGCGATCCCGTTCTCCAACTTCCAGGTTCTGAAAGTTTCCCACACTTTGTGACAGGTGGCTGAAGTACAGTTCTCTCTTGACTTTAATCGGGTATTAGAGACTGATTCAGACAGGTTCCTCTTTTCAAGCGCCATGCCACTAACTGATGGGATTGGGGCTCTGGAAGAACTGCCTGGCCCTAAAGTAACAGGTCCAATCTCTGGGAATATTATGGGGGCTCCTTGGTTCATATGTAACAGGAGAAGAAATTAAGGTCTCCTTGGCCATGATGGTATTATTGCATCACTAGGCAATTATCGTGCCAAATTTTCCTCAATCCTGAATAAACAGAATTGGAGGGAAGTCCCAATTCTGGGATAAGGCATCCTGGGCTTCTGCCTGAGGGTCTTTCCACCTCAAATCTTGGTACTTTAATTCCGGAAAGAAGCCATCAGATCTATTTGAGGCATTTCCCATATTTCCACTATTTGACAAAATACTTCCTTATTCAAGGACCATTCCCCTGGGTCCATGCTTGACCTGCTTAGTCTGTCCGGGTATTTTTAATTCCCAGGAGGTACACTGCTTTCAGATCTATCAGGTAAATCATAGCCCACTCCATGATGGGTTGCATTTGAAGAAGTAACTGCTTCCTCTTGTACCACCTTGATTCCAGGACCCAGCCACCACTCTGTCTGTATCACTCCTTTCCCCTTCAGGTGGGTGGCAAATGACATCATTGCCTTGTATACTGAACACATTTCTAGAATGTTGGAATGGAGAAGACTTATGATTGTGCCATTGTCCTTGAGCAATTAAGTTCTTGTAGTGTGCTTGCATCTGTCATCACCATTTCCCAAGGAGGATCTTCAAGTGGAAATCCCTTGTTCAGATTGGGTTCCTTCATCCACCATCTCAATTGCTGTTTGAGGTCTTGGGGAATTATTATCCACTGATTCAAATTAATGGAAACTCGTGTGTGTGTTTTTTTTTTTTGGCCTGAGGAAGTTCATCGGGGCAGGTCTTATCTTCCAATGTGCCCATCTGACTATACTTATTTGTTACGGTTACCTCCGGGCTAGCTGGAGGTTGGACTCCTTGGATATCCTGGTTCCCAAGTTGGAGAGGTAGAACGTCGCTCCTATCAGCATCCACAACATTCTCCTGAAAGTGTAAAATAATCCCACTAGCTATGGCATAGCTAGGATACACTCTTCCCTACAAAACGAGTTGAGGCTGCGACTTGAGGGTAACACGAACTGAATTTAATGGCACTCAGGCAGGACAATTTATGCAACTTTCAGACAATGACCTAGTTTATCCAATGGAAACTCAGTGTAACATTTGAAAATATCCCCGCCTTGCTTGGAGATAATTGGCCTTAATGGTTACAATGACCTAATTATCTCCAAGCACATGGAAATACAGTTTACACCCATAAGAAAATAACAAATATATAACTTTAATATTTGAATACGAAAATGGTTCATGTGACCATTCGCTGGATAGCTCAGATCTGAGCGCACAAGATGTATGAATCGCGCTCAGATCTCAAAAGGATGACCGAGTTCTGATGTCTGTTCGTACAATCTTGGGCCGAACAGATGGGACAACTGCCTCTTAGCGGGATTCGTGCAGTTCCATTGCTGATTACAGTTCCGGAGATTTTACTACAAAGTACCGCTGAACCCTCGCTGGCAACAAGATGGCCACTGCCTGGTGTTCGGTATGCAAACTGCAACCACCTGGGGTTAGATACTTAGCTTGCGGTTAACCGCAGAAACCCTCACCTAATTGAGAACACATGCCAGATACGGGTGGTCGTCGTTCGACAGTTCTTTTGTATATTTAGTACGGTCCTCGTTCGTCTAATTGGAACGAGCGAGGCCACCTGGATTCCGATTAATTAGCCTGTGGTTTACCACAAACTGCAGCTCCTGTGCGGTTAATTGTTGGCATACTGCGCCGTTATGGTCGATCGTTCATTGGGTCTTTCGGTGGTTTGAAAGGTGACTGAGGCTAAGTAGAGACACACGACAAGGGCTGGGTGGTCTGCTGTTCGTATATACGAATGGGTAGCACTGTTCATTCATGTATCTGAGAATAGGGAAGTATCCAAACAGTGATAACAAATTATCCATAGTAGTGGCAACAGTAACCAAAATGTAGAAAAATATTGCTCTTGTAGCAGACTGGGGGGCTTCCGTAACAGTATTGTTGACGCGAGGGACCCTAATGTACTCATGTACATTCTGACTTTTTTGTGCTTTGGAGAAGCTCTGATATCTTGATCATTATATGAGCAATGCAGTCGTGAGACAAGGGAATTTGTAGATTCTTGCATATTTATTCTTGCCCAAAGAATAGTTTCTGGATAGAACTGAGTTGCTCTTGTCTTTTTGTTAGCCAGCCGATACGCTGCAGAGTACAGATAACTTCCTGTGATATTCTTGGGCTACGATAAGGATGTCGTCCAAATAGTGAAAGATTTGTATCCCTCTCTTCTTCAGAACTCCTACGATCGTGATTATAGTTTTAGAAAATGTTCTGGGTGCTAGATTTTACCCAAATGGCATCCCCTGGAACTGGTAGTGTTTCCCCAGTATGCAGAATTTCAAATTTTTGGTGAGCATGATATATAGGTATTTGGTAATATGCATCTCTTAAATCGATTTGTTAACCAACCCCTCAGTGAATTGTCTCAATCTGGAATGACCTGCTTTTGAGGAAAGTGATTCTTTTCCAGTCTAGTATGTCTCAACTTTCCCTGGAGCTTTGGAGACAAATATTTTAGTAGAATTCTTTGTATCTCTCAACGAACTTCTTCTTGTGTAGTAAGTTGTTGTAAACGCCTCCATTGCCTTCAGTCCTATTCCAGATGACACTGACTGATGGAACTGATTCTTCAGAATTCTTTGAACTCTATTCTGTAACCATCTGCTACTCAGGACCCAATTGTCCTTGATGAACTCTGCCCAGACTGGAAAGAACCATTTTAGACTGCATCCTACTTTTCCGGTCTTGGTGATCCAACCTTCATAACGTTTTAGGAGTTTGTCTGAGTCCTCTTCCTCTGGATCCTCTAATGGAGGAGGATTGTTGAAACCTCCATTGTGAGGGTCTAGAGTACTCCCTTCCAGGCTTATGACTTGCTGTCATGAAGAGTCCTCTTTGTTTTACTTAGCTCTCCATGACATGCTAAATGCTCTTCAGTAGGATTGAGGTGGAAAAGCGTGTGGTTTTTTTTTTTGTTTTTGTTTTTTTTCTGGCAGCAGCCTTTTGTATAGCATTGTCTAAAATTTTCCCAGTCTATCCCCTTGAAAGGGTAAGGCACAAAGGTTGGCTTTGGAGGAATAGTTTGCTCCCTAAGAGTGGAGCCAGAGTGCTCTTCTAGAGGCTACTGATAAGGCAAGATTTTTGGACAACGATTCTGTAATCCTAATACATACAAGGCGGAGTTTCTTGCTTATTCTATTAACAGATCTGGGATGTAAACATCCTACAATAAAATACAGGAAAAACACAATGGTGCAATACTTTTATTACTACAAAGTGCACACAACCATAAAATGGTATTTAAAATCCAAATAGCCTTACAGTTTAAGGAGAGTCCTTGGGTATCTGTAAGTCATGTGCAAAACACGTTTTACCTCTTAGAGGCTTCTTCACCTCTAAGGTGTTTAGTTTCTTACACTGTTGAATCTCTCACTGGGATTCTGTTCTCTCATTGCATTAAAGATTTTGTAATGTCCAGGGCTGGACATTACAGCCTAACATCTTTCAGAGAACTTAGAAGATATAGCCAGCAGAGTAAGCAGATATCTTATAAATTGTCAATCCAGACTTTCACGCTTCTAGTTACTGATGTGAGTGCTGCTGGACGTAATCCCAATCCAATGGCAAGATCGCATTTAACTAGGATAGAATCAATCATTTTATCCATGGGCTCTTTTAATTAACCCATGCTGTCTATAGGGAGCATAGTTTTCGTCAGCAGCCAAATCACTGCAGCATCAATTTTAGCAATTGTTTCCCAGTGCTTAGCTTCAATGGAGAATGAATACATTCTTGACACTTTGGTCTGAAGAGTCTGTTTTTGTGTTTCGACCCTTTAGAATAAATTCTGTAAATAGTAGAATGAAGTGGGAATGTAAGCCTGGAAGATCTTAAGTCTTTAAAGTATACATCTAAAGCAGCAGTTTTGTATCGTACCTCCTGAATTTTCAAAGTGCTTCTCACTAACTATTAACTTATTCACTTTCCTGGAGTCTAATGATTTATTCCAGGCTTCATACTATTCATCCTCTTCAGAGTCCAGTTCAGGTTGTTCCATATCTTAGATACTGAAGCGACAGGTTTCTCTGTACCTTTTGGTTGCCCCTTTGGATACTGGTTGAAAAACTTCAGCAATGGCATCAGTAATCCATTTTTAAAAATCTGTTTAGAGTGACCTTGTATGTGATTGTCTCTCAGCCACATTGGAAACATAAGTTCTTCTCCTCTGGGGCCTTAGAACCACAGCCCATGCCGCGATATTAGTTTTTGTTTCTTTTTCCGTGGAGAGCATTCATGGGAGTTTCTAGGGCTGTAATGACAAGGTCATATGTTAGAACTTTTAGGCTCATATGTTAGAACAATGCGCTTTTTTTTTTTTCTTTCTGAAACTGGACTCTCTTCTAGATTCGCTCCTAAGGGAGGTGGGAGAAGAAGCAATCTATAAATATAGAAAGAAGAGTGAAAAATAATTGAACACTTACCTCTGTGTAGAAGACTGACAAGAAGGTAGAGGAATTTGAACTTAAAGTTCTTGCAACAATTAAATTTTTCCGGTAAAACTACTATGCTGCAATATGTTTTTATACCACTAGCATGCTCATTATGGTTTTAGGGCAAGTTTACTGCGCATGTGCAAAATTGGCGAAAGCTTAAATACGGTAACTTTAAAACTGCGGCCGCCATCCTGAAATCAGAGCAGACAGGGGCTCCTAACTTGCCAAAATGTGACCAAGAAGGTTCCAACCAAAGGAAAGTTGATTACGTACCTCACTACTGAGGTGGGAGGGCCTGAACTCCCACTGGCAGAACCATATTAAAATTTTCTCATTACCATGTTCATGTGGGATCCAGCCTATCAGCTGAGACAGGAAAAAAGACTGGGGAGTTTGGGAGGGGGGGCTTAAACAATTAAGAATTTTCAATATAAGTATTCCTGTCCTGACAGCTGGGGAGGAACTAACCCATAAGTGATGCTGCCATGTTTGGCCAGGAAATAGTAATTTTGTGCCTCTTTGATTTCCACATATCTCAACTTATCCTCTATATTCTGTTTGCAGGTTGTAGGAGAAGAACTTCTTAAACGTAACCACAATGTAGTATATGCTAAAAGAGCAGGATCAGTGGTCCAGGCTATAGTACGAACTGGAAACAAATGGGCAGCTGCTTGTGACTCACGGAAGGGAGGATATCCAGCAGGCTATTGATTCAGGCCTTCAAATAGTGACTATGTAACTGGTGCCTCTACTAACTGACTTTCTACACCATTTTACAATGGATTGGCTCCAACAAAGTTTTCTTGTTGTAAATTAACTGGTATTCCTGCTTCTGTTACAGGAAATGATTATAGGACAAACTTGAACAAGATACATTTTTCAGGATCTACTAAAGAAAAACGATAAACACCATCCTCTGCACTGACACTCCATTCCACTAGAGGGGGGAAAAAACTTATGTTTGAAAATGCATGAAACAAATCTGCTCAACAAAGGGACCAAAGAAAATGTCTGGATATGGCCATGGTCCTCCAAGACCACATCTTTCATGCCCAGGATAATGGGAAATATCTGAGGTTTCAGCAATGAAATACACTGGGCAGGTGCTGTAGAAGTTGTGCCAAACTTTATGCTGTGAATCTGTGCCTTCTGTAGAACTTTACAAGTGTACCACTCTGTGAGCAGTACTGTAGGGGTGGGTTTTTCATGCTTTTTTGGTGGGTGTACATAGGGAACTCAAAGAGCGTTTCCAGCTCAGGTTAATGAGAAGTTGGCTGCCTTGTCTCCGTCCAATAAATTGATCATTTCAGTACATGGCTTTATATTTATAGATTAATTTTTTTGATCCATGACTTCTGACTTGTTTCCACACTGGTCAAGAAACTAGAGATTTGAAATGAGTGGTCTGTGACATATTAAACCCTTTAAAACTAATTCCACAACTGGACTCCTGCAGAAAATAAAGCATTAATAAAAAAAACTATGCGTGCTCTACATCAAATTCACATATCAATGTTATCCACTATTGGTTGAATGTGTAGTAGCTAATTTGATTAAAATCTGTCCTATTGAAATGCCTGAAAGTGCTTAGATCAATGGTTCCCAAACCTCTTTAGGTTCAAGGCACTTAATTGTTCAATATTTTTCCAAGGTTCCCCAAGTTAGAACAATTTCTAGGTATATGTACAACCCACTGTTACATATAATAGGCCCCTGTTCAGCAGAAATGTTTCCCTATCTGGGGTGGATCCAGAACCTAATCTCGGGAGGGGAACTGGTAGATTATTTAAAGAAACAATCCAGGCACAATAACCACTACAGCATGCTTAAGAACAGTTTGACAACTTACTGCCAAGATAGGGGCTGTGGTAGGGGATAGGGGCAGTGATAGGTGGGTGTGTGAGGGTGCATTGTGTGGGAGAATTATTGTGGGTCTATTGGGTTGGATGGTAGAATAATAAATATAAAATTATTAAAAATATTGATATACCCCCCCCTTCCTGCTTACCTTTTGCCTGGGAGTGGGATAGTACTAATCCCTGGTGGTCAAAGTGGTGAGTGAACTCTAGCAGCTTCAAGAGCTGCTAGAATTCACTCTTGTGAGATTCAGTGTTGCAGTGGAAACTGCAGCAATGCTCCAAGCTCGCAAGAGGAGAACCCGGTGGAGCTCCAGGTAAGACCTCTCCCTCCGCTGCCAGCATTAGTGCTAGCTAGCTGGCTGGTGAGGGAGATCTCTCTCTCATCTCCCCTCCGGTCCTACAGAGCTGGGAGGGGAGAGTGAGGCACAGTTCCCGGTGCTATGATCGGTTTGGGAACCACTGGCTTAGACCAAGTTACTTCGGATCAGTTTCTATAATTTGTACAATGAGGAATCAGTTCTAATTAGAGTAGGTTGCCTGCTGACTGCATACTTGGTAGGATGGCCTAGTGTGTTTTTTTTTTATTATATATTTTAACTTTTAAAAACTCCTCACCATGTCATGAAGTGCAGTAGTTCACCACATGATTAACCCGAAGACCCCCTTTATTATAGTGGTAACCACTTACAATTGCTATAGTGATACGATACTGCACTCTCAAACACAGCACCCATCTGGCATCACGACAAAATGTGGCTAAGTGCTTTTATGTATGAAGTTTGTGTGGTGTGTTTAAATATTCCTTCCTGGTTTGGTTAGCTCAGTGGCAGCAATTGCTTAAAGGGACTCTCCAGTGCCAGGGAAAACAGTTTTCCTGACACTGCAGGTCCCCTCTCCCTCCCACCACCCATCCCCAATTGCTGAAGGGGTGAAAACACCTTCAGTGACTTACCTGAGACCCACGCCGATGTCCCTCAGTGGTGGTTTTGGGTCGTGGCTGCTCTTCCTCACATGCGCATTAGAGCTCTCCATAGGAAAGCATTTCAATGCTTCCCTATGGGGAATTGAGTGACGCTGGAGGTCCGTCCAGCGACGCTCTAGCACGGAAAACCTGTGCTATGAAGCAGGAAGTGCCTGTCTTGTAGACAGCCACTAGCGGAGGAGTTAACCCTGCAAGGTAATTAATGCAGTCTATAAAAAAAAAAAACTGCAATAATTACTTGCAGGTTTAAGGGTAGTGGGAGTTGGCACCCAGACCACTCCAATGGGCAGAAGTGGTCTGGGTGCCTGGAGTGTCCCTTTAAAGCACCTGCCTTGCAAAGACTTCCCATTGGAAAGTTTGACAGTCTGCAAGCCTTCTCCAGCCCAAAGGCAGCCGACAAGGAGGCACAGTCCTTGTGGACCAGAATCCCTGTCCTTTTCTAGGAGCTTGTTGGGGTGTATAACAGATCCACAGCAATAATACACATACTGTGCCCTTAAACTGCAGTGGTTAACCTGGTTCTTACCACCCACTAGTGGGCTCTCATGGTGGGTGGTGGCAGATGACTGTCCAGGTGGGTACAGTGGTTGTTGGAGGTGCCCAGTGTGCAGGCAGAGGGTTAGGTTTTCTCTCCAGTTTCTGGACATCTCAGGACTCCGGCTCTTTTAATACCCACCCGCAGTAGCTCCAGTGATTTAACTGCCCATGACTGAACACACAACCACATGCTTTGCGCAGATGCATGCTTCCCTTGAGCCACCGCGAGAGTCCTCACAAAAAACTGCATGTTTTATACCTGCCTCTGTTAGCTAAATCTCTCTCGTGGCTAAAAGAAAGCACATGTGCAGTGGCGCTCTAGAACAGGATGGACGGGGGTGTGTGATGCACTCGCTGTGAAAGCAAGGACAGTTAGAAGCATGTTTAGAGTGGCTGATGGAACTTAGCTTGTCAAAGTTGTAAAGGAAGGAGAGAATAAAGAGGTGGGGGGTGGGAGAGAAACCGAATATACAGGTTTTTTATTTATTTTTTTTAATTATAATCCTTTCTAAAGTTTTGCGCTTAAATTGAGTTTATGCGACATCAATGGGCAGTAAGGAAATGTTACCATCAAAAAGAAACATAAGTGGGTGGTAGGTATTAAAAGGTTGACAACCCCTGGATTAAAGGGATACTAGTCACCAGAACAACTACAGCTTAAGCAGTGGTATACACACAAACCATGGGGCCCCGGTGCGAAAATGATCCATGCCCATTCCCCCACCAGACACACATAGACACATACATAAAAGAACAGGCAGGCACATACAAACACACACAATGTTTGTCACCCTCCTGTTTCCTACCTTTTTTGTGCAGGAGGGTGACTTTCCCTGGGGTCCAGTGGTGGCTCAGGTGGATGGGAATCAGAGGTCCCACTCTGACTCCCTCTGCATCCTCCCACATGACTCTCAGTGTTAGTCACTTCCTCCCAGCTTGTGATGTCATCCACATACAAGGACCCCTTGGACGGCGGCCCTGGTGGTTTGCTGCCGGGGCCGCAGATGATAGGCCCGGTCCCAGCTGCGACCACGGTATGTACGCCGCTGAGCTTAAGGGATTTGTTCTGGTGAGCATAATCATTCGCTGCAGGCATTTTCATGTAAAAACTGTGTTAATCTCATAAAAGCAGACATTAGTTACTGTTAGAGAAGGACCTGCCAAAGACGGGATATATTGACGTTGTGGCAGGCTGATGCAATGTATGCTTATATACTGTAACTAAACCCCCATTTTTGTCTAGATTAGGTGTTTTTAAAATTTAAAAGTCTGAGCTTTGAAGTTGCTGTTTTGTGGATGAATACATGTGCTGCATCAGGTCTGTCTAAAACTTCTCAGAACAGCCCATCACTGATCACCTCACACCCCTAAAATAAGTGTCACTCTTACCCCGTTAGAAATATTGGGAAGTATGGCAATTTGGTTAGGACGAACTGGCCGAAAAACTAATTTTTGTACAAGTCTATATATACACATTAGTTTAAAGCCATTTATCTACATTACTAATTTTGCAGTGAGTGGATGTTGGCAGCAGCACTAGTAATAAACCTGTAATGCAGATCCTGAAGTCTCACAGTAATATAAAAGCATTTAAAATAAAGTAGCAGTTTGGGCAAACTTAAGAAGCTGAGAGATTACATTTTGAATTTACAGGAAAGACAAAAAAGTAATTTGACAAATTTACATACAAAAAATGTATTTAGGAAGAAGAGTCCTGGGTGGAGCCAAGCAACCGACTAGAATGGTCGCATGCCGCCTCAACTCTGCACTAAACAGCCATTCTGGGCCCTCTACCACATCCCAAACTCCTTAAAAACCGTGCCAAATGGACCCCCAATCTGAAGGCCGCTGGAAACTAAAAAGTCCAAGCCAGCAAACTAAGGCAAAATATAAATATTGGATCTACGGGGACAAGCACACAGCACCGTGGGCCTAAATATGACTGCCTTTGTAGACAACTGCTCCTGTATCTCTGGCAACTTTACAACTGGAGCAGAGATGGAACACTCACCCGTCCCGAAGGCTCCTCTCCCGATTCACCCACAGCCAGACTCATCCCCAGTGACCATAGCGGTTATGAAAGAACTGCTAGCGGGGCTTCAGCTCACCATACAGGCTGATATGGCCCAAATCCACAAAAACATGCAGGGCCTGACAGGCTGCCTGAGTACTCTGGGGGAAGATTGCCACCAAAACACACGCTTCTGCAACACGCAGTGAACGACCTGCAGCAGCAGAATCACAAATATGACCAGAGATTTGCAGCATTGGAAGATCAATACCTCTGATCTTGATGTTAAGACTTTGCCTTTGGAGAGGAGATACCGAAGTACTGCACTGTGTCAGGCGACTCATGTTGGCCCTCTTGTCTCCCAGGCAGGCTAAACTAGTGACCCTAGAGGGGATGTTCCGCTTACAAAGGCCAGCTAAGGCTCCGACCGCTCACCTTTGCTTGCATATTGTCAACTATAAGTGCAACATGCAAGGCGCTAAAGATCTCCTGCCCACCTTGGGGGTCCAGTAGGACTAAGTACCACTTCAACACCACCTAGTGTCTTGGACCCCACAAAAGGTGACCCTGTTCGTACCCCGACTGTCCACAGCGGCCACTACCTGTTGGAAAAAAGCTGCTTTAATTTTTTGCCAGGCCTCCCATTAGACGGGCTAGCCCAGGCTTTTTCTGCATGCAGAACTCTTTTCTCCATTGTTTATTTTTCACATGTTATATGCTACATCATGTTTCTCGCCAATGCATTTAACATATTATATCGCATTATTTTAGGTTGTCTCCTTTAACTATCTCACTGATCGTAAGATAGGTAATTTTACACAGCATTAGTTCAACATCTCTATGCCCCTCCCACAGGTGATACATAGCCCAGCTGACCCTGGTCGGAAGACCATATATCTCTACTACTCTCCGCACCTCAAGCCTTACTGCCTATAGCCAAACTATTGGTCCCATCGGCTATATTGCTATAACCCCAGACACGAGAGGCCTAAGACAAAGCGTTGTCACCTACAGTCTTACACCAAAAACCCTCAGTTCCTTGGCCCATTGCCCAAATGCTAGATGACTTATTTGATATGCTCCACCGAATGTTTATACGGCTTTACATATGCTTATCTCATGTAATGTTTTATACTGAGCCTATAACCTGAGACAAAAATAAAGAATTTAAAAAAATATAAATAAATAAATAAAAGTGTACCAAAAAAACCAAACTAACATTCATAGAAAATTACTGAACTAGAATAGGAAATGCCAGTCAGGACAGTAAAATAACCAATGCAACAGCCCCTAGGTGGCACTCTTACACAACACAAGTTGAGAAACTATTGAGAAACCAATTGTGAAATTAAAAGTTCACTTGGAGAATGTTACAAACTTTATAATGGACTACAAATTACAATTTAAACTCCAATCCATTGTTAATAAAGTTAAAGTTTTGTTTCACTTAGCCAGGTGTCAATAAAATGAAAGCTCTCAGGTCGTGCCCCAAACATCTTGTACTCAGATTGAGCATAAGATTTTATCTATACGTTGTGCTAGCAAATGTAATTGTATAGACTAGCCGAGAGAGAATCCTATTTTTAAAAATATATTAGGCCGGTGGCCATGCCCTCTGGAGTGACGAGATGCATTCCACTGACTGTCTGAGGTTGCTTCAGGGAGTTTTTGCAGCCAGGGAGAAGGGTATGAACCCTGTAGCAGAGTCAGCTCTGGTCTAGCCTGAGACCAGTCTATCCTTCTCCTGTTACAGCGCAAGAGCTTTAAAGTCGCACCGGTAGCCACGACAACAGTGATTGAACACACCAATACAGCCTGTCTTAACTTGTATTGGTTCACATTACAATAAATGGTCACAGAGATAAATGATGTATTAATTAGATATAAAGTCGCCTCCAGCACCGCCATGTACCCAGTTTTGTAGGTGTTCGTCTCCTGTAACATCCACCTCATGAGGTCTGCTTTCAGCTGCCCAACTTGGGGACACTTATACAAATGTGTTTTCCTGTGGCATTGCATTGTTGGTAATAGTGAACTGATATTTTTATTTTTCAAAAATCTGTGTATATATTTGCAATTTTACTCCTTTCCAGAATGACCAGTAAACTCTCTCCTAATAGACTTTGCTTTTGTTTTCCATACTTTGTTTTTAGGAGACACAGGTCGCAAAAGTAGGTAGAAAGCTGTAAAGGATTATTATTTTAAAAAAATCCTTTATTTGTTTATAATTACTAGTTTGTCAAACTTTTATTACAATGCTTTTGTATGCAGAAACAGAATATACTTTTCATTTTATTCACTATACATTATAGACCAGCTTAACAGAAGGGCCTCTCAGTACTTTAGGCCCTACCAACATCAATGGATAATGCAGTGTCAGCTGCCATTTGTTTGTAAACTCAGAGGATTCTTCCAGCTAAGGGGCAGCAAGTTCCTTAGCCCCAACATCCATGCAGTCCAGCAGTATATTCATATGACATGAATTCCGCAATGAATTCACTGTTCTAGGTGTATTTATTGCAGCTAATAAAATCATACTGCTCAAGTGTCCCTGTTTAATTCCTAGGCCCCGCTTTCTATGACCTCCATATTGTTGGTGTACCTGAGTGTGTAACAATGCTCTACATTAATAAGTCATAGTAATGCATCTTTAAACTACAATAAAGGTGTTGAGAAATCTGTGTGTTAATAAAATACATTGATCTTCATCTAAATTACATTTTAGATAAATTAGTAAATCACCTAAAACACATTTCACAAAGTGGCAAATAGTTCAGTCTGTTTCGCGGACACACTACATTGAACATAAGCATTCAAATATAGAATACATTTTCTCAAACATTTAAGGCTAAAAGAAACAGGTAAAACCAAGTTAAAAGGTGCTGCTTGAGATTGAAATGTTATGGCATCATTGATGTTGTCACTGGGTCATAGCTTAAAGGGACACTGCACCATTCCTACAACATTTTAATGTAGTGGTTTTGGTGCATAGAACCTGTCCCTGTAGCCTGGCAAATATACACAATGCTATTTGTGAGCTTAGTCAGAATGCTTAAACGGTCAGTCTGATATCCACAAGATTCACTTCCACGATCAGTAATTGAAACCATCACATTTTGCATTGATTAACACTTTGAATGCTTCTCATAAAGAAGTGCTGAATGCAATGGTTCTCTTTGAGAAGTATCTGATTGAATGAGTATATGGGTTGCAACACATGTGCCGTAGCGCCCCACTGTTTCTCTAGGAGAATCTGATTTGCCCAAAATCTTCCATGAAGATGATCTCAGAACAGGAGCAGGTGTAGCTCCGGGACCATGACAGCTCTGGATTAAAAATGAGTTTAACTTAACATATTTTTCACTCATTTAACAGGATGCCTAAAAATCTAAGAATTAGAGAAATAGTTTAAAGTTATGAATAAATGCACGCTTTTATAAAGTTAGAGCATTCCTTAACTTGAATTACACTAAAGATAAATTCCCACAGCCTTGTGCAGTGCTCACTTTGAGAGCTGCCTGCAGTCAATCTGTTAACATTAAATCTGGCCATACCTAGCAAATGGGAAACCAGGTTATCCAGTGATACCAGTGTGCAAGCAGAGAAACAGTAGGCCTTCACACACGGATTGCATTTCCACAGATCTCAAAATAAAGTGAGAAAAAGTTTTCATAAAAAGAAAGAAAAACAAAACTCAAACATACATAGGTTCGCCAGGCAACAATAAGTGTCTTATAATGCATACAAAACCAATCTAGATTTATCAAATATTACAAAACACACACATCTTACAACACAAACACACAAGCTGCCTTGTGGACATTCGACCATAATTCCTGAACAGTAGGTTAAACCTAGGCAGGTTATGAGTAGCAATCAACCCAACCCACTCCAATGTCTCTAAATCCTGCTTACCTATAGCTAGTTTAAACACACACACACGCAAACACACACACCCTACCTGTTCATTGCCAAAACCTCAATCTCTCTCTCCCTAAGTCTAAATCCTCAAATAATTAGAATCTGGCAGTTGAAAGAAAAAAAAACTTTAAGTTCTTAATGAGTTATGGCTGCCAACAGTCTTACTGACACAATGTGGGATTATATATTAAAATGTGCCCTGCTTACTTGCATTTTTGAGCCTCTACTGTGGTCCACTCTTTTTTTTCTGCTTCCAAGGCAACCCTACTAACAGCCAAACTGGTCTCAGCCCCCTTTCTAAATGCCAGTCCATCTTACATCTACTCCATCTGTAACATATTCATATCCCTTAGCTCTCGCAGACCTACCAATAGTCTAGAATTGTCAGGGTTTGCCCTATTTACCTAAAATCCCTCAAACGTCCTGCACAAGTACATTACTGTACATGTTGACTATGTTCTGAAAACGCATTCAGATAACCACTGAGATGCCTCTGCGACTTGACGATGATTCGTGGTAGTAAAAGGTAAGAGGTATGCAGTTCTTCCTACTTGTTCTCACCATGCCAAGTACTCACTGGACTCCCATACCTTTACTGTAGTACTCCTATTATCATTTATTAAAGCGTGTGATTTTACTTTATATCAGCGCTGTACTAGGTCTATTTATATTTTTTTCATGCATCACTGGATATCTGAGAGATGGTGAACCTGTGAGAGTCCATGAATTATTGATGAGCCTGGATATTCCTCCAATTTGTGAGTGCAACATTGAAATAAGGGACTGATTGTTGTTTAACATTATTGCCCCATGAGTTTTTTTTTCCTCTGTTTATGTGTTTAGGTATATCTTACTTTTTCATTTATATTGAAGATTGAGAGAAATCCTTTGTTATACCAAATCAAAAAGGAAGTAACTATCTTTTTTATATTCATTGTATATATAATGCACCTGGGTGGTCTAAACTTGTTTGTTGATTAGTACTCCCATTACAATTCCATTTAATCCCACTCTCAATTATTTACAACCCTACTTACACCTTATTAGACTGTCATGCAAGCTCATTCTTCCCTTTGCTTAAAGCACCATAACCATCATAGCACACTCAATGTAAGGAGTAAATCCATTTATCAAAGGTTTGACTTCTTACCTGGAGTTCTCTGGGTTCTGCTCCACACCTACTCTCTGCCAGAAACTCTCTTCTAAGCCTGGTGGTGCACGGCTTCACTCATTGGCTGAGAGCGATCAACTGATGTGCTCCGCAATGAGCAGGCCCTGCACTGCAGAACTTGCTTAAGACCTTCTAATAGTTCTTCCAGCAAAGAGTAGGTGTGGATTGGTGAATGGCAGACCCAGGTAAGAAGTCAAGTTACCAAACAGTTTGATTCCTTACATTGGGCAGGCTGCCAAGACACGCTCGACACCATAACTATCACATCTACAAACATACAGGAATCTTTTACATCGCTCATGCTGAATAGCCATTTAAACTTTTGATTATATATTAAAAATTAATAATGATGATGATTTAATGCCTAAATCTTCCATTTGGATCACTTCCCACATAGTACTCCTACTTTTATGACAGCTGCCATGCCTCAGCCCATTCCCATTTACATGCTCTCCTAATGTCGGCTCCCAAACCAATTTATATTGGTCAACTGCCAAGGCCTATAGTATCGAAATGTCATAGCTGCACACAGCGCTCTACAGTAAATCAGACATCGGTGCTGTGTATCTCTACTCCAGCCCACTCCTGAAATTACACCTGAAGAGGGAGAATTTGCAGCAAAAGGAACAAGGTATGTATAAAAGCAAAGAATACCTCTGCAGATGGCTGGATGTCACAGGAGAAGATCCTATATCCAGCCAGACATCTGCTACTCCTCCACCACAGAGTATCAGCATTCAGCACAGACAATACAAGGTTAGTAGGGTCTGTATTCCTCTGGGAATAACATTTGTGATACCATTATGTATGATGGTATGAGACTTGCGGCAATATGCAGGGAGTTGTCAATCAACCTTCTATAACAGTAAAGTGATGGCAACGTATACGGCGAGTGCTGAGCACATTTTTAAAACATTGAAGGGACACTAAGCACCAAAACTACTGCATGTTAAAGGAACACTACATTAAAAAAAAAAAAAAGTCAGTAGGTATATCCACCCAAAAAAAAAAATTAATTTAAAAAATGATATGCTTGTAATTTGTTTTGCGTGTTTTCTTTGAGGGTATATAGAAATTTAGCAACAGCTGCAAATCTAGTATCTGCAGCCTTACTGCAAGTCCTTTTCTTTGTGCGTGCCAGGGAATGCCTGCAGTTGTCCACTCACAGAGTCCACTAGAAGCACTTCCACTACACTGACTGAGTAAAACTCAGTCACATGATGCAGAAGCTCCACAGGAAAGCATTGATTCAATGCATTCCTATGGGAAAGTTTGAAAGTGAAAAGCATTGGATTGGATCACACCGAAGGAGGCCTTGCCCCTTCCATGATGAAGGAGAGATGAGCAGCACCAAGGAAGCCTTAGTACTGGAACAAGGTAAATACTTTTTCATTTTTAAAAACATTTTTTTTTTTTTTGCAGGGACACAAAAACTATAGCATTAGGAATACAGATATGTATTCCTAATGCTGTAGTGTTCCTTTAATTAAAAATTAAATAGCCAGAGTTTCCCTTGAATGGAAGGTGACGGTCTGCTGGTGATCAGCAATTTAACATACATCAAGCAAGTCCAATCTCCTGGTGACAGACTGTCCAAATATGAATTATAAAATACATGTCTTCTCAGCTTCAGAGATAAAAAAATAAAAAACATCTTTGAGACACAAGTCTTTTAGCAAGGCGTCTTTACCCTTCATGGTCCATTAACCTGTGCTGTAATGCTTAGTCATGATTGGTCACATTCTTTTTTTCATAGTCCAGATAATTTCTTTACTCTTGTTTTGACCATGCAGGTTCATACAATGATTGGAAAGCTGCTTTCAAGACCTAATAACCAGCAGCGCTACCACTCTTTCTCAGGTCAGACTGCCCAAAGAGGCACTCTCCTTCTTGAGATGCCCCTTGGACAACATTCATGAAATACAAATGTTCAACTACTTTATGACCCTTCTCGTTCAGATTCGTCTTTACAATCTGCAAAAAAACAAAATAGACTGGGGGTGAACATTTGGACAAGATACTAAATACTGCATACCACAAGTATCTTTAGATTTTTTTTTATGTGCATGAGGTTCGCCTTGACATGGCAGGTGAGCTTGCATTTTAATGGCCCTTAGAGTGATACTAAAAACCTCCAGCTATTTAAATATGCATAGAGATCTGGGATGGGTAAATTTTCTTTGGCTTTTATTTTATGTATTGTGGCTAATGAGTATTATAGTCTTTGCTGCCGCCCTAGGGAAGTGGGAGTTTGAGTGCAGGGCTTAATTGTACACGTATGCATGAATATGTGCCATATAAATCCACAGAAATATATACATTTGAGGTATATAGAATAAGTGGTGGCCAGTGTTCTTTTCTTATGCAATTTCTAAATTTAGCTGTTAAAGGAGCACGCCACACACATAGAGCACTTCAGCTTGCTGAATAGCTATATGGATGTGGAGTATCCCTTTAAAATCCCAGTTTATAAAAGTGCCCATTTAAGACCCATGGTGGGATTGGAGGGGGGGTAGAGAGACACCTGCAATAGAATGGAACAGCTTCTGATTGGACAATTCTCTGTGAAGTGACAAAGTAATTTCCAGTTAAAAAAAAAAAAAGGCCGGGTTTACAAAGGCTGCAGTCATAAGAACTGTAGCTTTTGCAAGCTGTTTTAGATTATACTCCCAATGAATACATACATAAATATATACATGTAAAGCTTACGTTATTATCTTGTTTATCTAACTACTTTCAAAAAAAAAAAAAAGTGCAATGTCATTAATGCCATGTGATTAAGAATGTATGTAAACTCGACTGTACCAGCTATTGTGGCAGTACAAATTCGCCTGTTACCCTCTTGCACGAACAAAAATAAAGAATTAAAAAAAAAAAAAAAAATATATACATGTATTAATTCATTGGGGGTATATCTACTAAACTGTGGGTTTATTCTGCTTTTATTTCAAGTGTGCTTTAAGTTGATAATGATTAACAGTTTTCTAACAGTAATGCTGCCAAAACTATAAAAGGGGCATGTTAAGCACCATAACTAGTGATGTCCGAACGGTTCGAACGGTTCGCCGTGGACGGTGAACATATGCGTTGTTCGGTCCGCCCCCTATGTCATCATTGAGTAAACTTTGACCCTGTACCTCACAGTCAGCAGACACATTCCAGCCAATCAGCAGCAGATCCTCCCTCCCAGACCCTCCCACCTCCTGGACAGCATCCATTTTGAAGCTGCATTCTTAGTGAGCTGTCCAGGAGTTGGGAGGGTCTGGGAGGGAGGGTCTGCTGCTGATTGGCTGCAATGTGTCTGCTGACTGTGAGGTACAGGGTCAAAGTATACTCAATGATGAGTCCGCGGCGAACCGTTCGGGACATCACTAACCATAACCACTAGTGCCCACTGACGTTGTTATGGTTCCAGGAGTCCCCTGGCATCGATCTCAAGGTGGCGATTCAAACCATTTTTGAATGGTTTTACATTTACCTGTAACCCATCGGTTCCCACCATATGCATTTCTTTACTGATTTCACTAAAGTAGGAATCAGTCCAAAATGGATATGAAAGGGATTTATCTATTGTGAAAGAGGATCTTACACTTTAGCGGTATCTGTTTGGAAAACGAACTAATGCTTTTGTGGTATCAGCAAGAGTGATTGACAACGGGTGCCTAGGCAACCAGGTAAATGTCAAATGGAAGAGTACCAAGGAACTCCTGGAACCAGAACAACTGTAGTTACTTAGAGTGCCCCTTTGGGAAATGTTTTGGATTGTTGAAATCTATCACGGAAACCAGACAAAGTTCAAAAACAATTATCAAATTAATAGAAGTGCAAAAAGTGTGATCAAGGATTGTATTAGATATCATAACCATCTATGCAGGTGTAGTAAACAAATTAGAACAATTAACAATTACACTTGCTCACTAGCTATTGACAAGTAACATTTAGGCTTTTTTTAGAAGCACATGACTTTTTTTTTTGAGCCCTGCATCAGATGATATTAAACAATACACAACAGGACTACAAACAGTCTGAGCAATATACACAGGACTTGCATGATGTATTATTAGCACTACATACATATAGGTTAGTATAATACTTATAAAGTATTGACAGAGAGAAATGTCCCTGTCCATAAGGTTCTATGAGAAGGGCATTGCTTACCGGATCAAAAGAACTTTCAAAGACGAGTGCATTATCAGCCTTTACATAGAGAATGGGGGCTGCGATGGCTTCACTAAGGTTGTTTCCAAACCAAAGTTTATTCATAATGGACTGAAAAGAAAGATTGAAAAACAGGCATGATCAGCATCCTTCCTTGATTCTAGCATACAATTACAGGATTGTAGGCTATAGATAATGGTGTGAGAAATACACATTAGTAGCTTTCTAATATGGGGACTGCAATCATGCTCTGCATATGTCAATCCCAGATTGCAGTAGTAAAGCAGTGGAAGTGCCATCATCGTCTGCCCAGACCCATACTGCATTATATAGCTTGGTTGCTTCATCTAAGTGTTGCTTCTAAGTGTGTGGTTGGAGATATTCTGGAGAGTTTTACAGAAGCTTCAACTGTCTAAGAGTTGTGCTAAGAGTTTTCTTTTCTACTGTTACAGGTAAGATTCATCTGTAGGAAAAGGTTACTGATTGCACAAGGTTTGAATTCCTGTTGGTAATAAGGCATTTGATTAGTTAGCTACTTGCTACTGATTGCTGTTTAAATTAGTTATTGTTTGCAAATAAGCAGAGACCTACCCAGGTGTTAAACATTCCTAGTGCGTGGTGATTTTAGGAGTTATATAAAGGTTGTTGTCATTAGCTTGGCTAATATAGCTTGGTTGCTTCATCTAAGTGTTGCTTCTAAGTGTGTGGTTGGAGATATTCTGGAGAGTGTTGCTTCTAAGTGTGTGGTTGGAGATATTCTGGAGAGTGTTGCTTCTAAGTGTGTGGTTGGAGATATTCTGGAGAGTGTTGCTTCTAAGTGTGTGGTTCGAGATATTCTGGAGATAACCTGGAGGTAATCTGAGGTATTCAGGAGGATAAATAAAAAGTTAAGATTCGTTTGATTTAAATTATTCTCCTCATTGAAATGGCAGACTTAGTTCAGTGTAATAGTTACTATGCATTTGTTTCACATTCCACTTTTTGGAGGTTTGGTTGTTGTCTAATCTGTAGACAGTTCTCTATCTTGCGGCAGGAGATTGTATTTTTGAAGTCTGAGATTTGCAAATTATCTGGTGAACAAACTCAGACTGGAACTGCTGCAAAGCCACTGCCGCAGAGACATACTAGGAATGGCAGATGGATTACTGTAGGATCTGGTAGACTTAGAGTTGTGGATAAAAGGCATATTGCACAGTCTGTTGCTCTACATAATTCATTTTCTGCACTTTCTGAGTGTAATGGTGTTGTGGAGAGGGGCACATAGGCTAGTGGTGCTGTGGAGAGGGGCACCGAGGCTAGTGGTGTTGTGGAGAGGGGCACCGAGGCTAGTGGTGTTGTGGAGAGGGGAGCAGAGGCTAGTGGTGTTGTGGAGAGGGGAGCAGAGGCTAGTGGTGTTGTGGAGAGGGGCTTGGAGACTATGGTAAGGCCTAATAGAAAGCAGTTGTTGTTGGGGGATTCCATCATAAGAGGTGTGGAGATGGACAATGGTGGTCTTGTGAGGTGTCTTCACAGAACTACTGCTCACAGAGACAGGAGACGTATCTGTAATATTGTTAAGCAAGCAAAGCAGGAAGGGTAATTGGATGTACTTGTCCATCTAAGGACAAATGACTTGGCTTGCAATGAGGTTTCAGAGGTTAAGGAAGTTTTTAGTGTTTTTGCCAATGATATACGGCAGGTTGCTTCCACACTGTCATTCTCTGAAGTTCTGCCTGTGCATAACACACAGAACGATAGGTGAATGCGTATTAGGGACTTTAATTTGTGGCTTGGTGAATGGTGTCGGGAGCAAGGATTTGGCTTTATTTCTCATGGTAGCTCTGTACAAAAAAGATGGTTTGCATCTTTCTCAAAAGGGAACAAATGTTCTTATTGAGCAGTTCAGAGGTTTTGCTAGGATGTATTTAAACTAGGAGGGGGCAAAAGGATGATAAAACATCAATCCAATTGTCCCCCAAAACAAGGACAGAAGGTGCCTGTAGCAAGTGTGTTAAAAAATGACAAGCTTAGAGTCATGTCTACAAATGCTCGCAGTTTAGGGAATAAGATCCATGAACTTGGGGCAAGAATGGCAATTTATAGTGTAGATTTAGTCGCTGTTACTGAGACATGGTATAATGAGAAAAATGACTGGGACATAGCAATACCAGGGTACTCTTTTATATAGAAAAGATAGGGAAAGCAAGAAAGGGGGAGGGGTGGCCCTGTATGTGAATTATAGCATAAAATCTAGCCTAATAAAAGTTAGTGAGGTGAACATAGAGTCTGTTTGGGTTATATTAGAATTTGGTAATCACACAGTAACTCATGTAGGTGTGATTTATAGGCCCCCAGGACAAATTGAAGAGTTAGATAATCTACTAGTTGAGGAAATAGCTAAAATGACAATGAAGGGGGAAGTTATCATCATGGGTGACTTTAATCTTCCTGATGTAAATTGGAAAACAAAAATAGCTGCTTGTGCCAGGAGCAAAGGCGCTATAAAGTGCTGAAACGCGCGTCGAGTTAGACGGGTTTTTGTTTTTATTAGGTTAGGTCTTGCTTGCAGCCCAGTTACTTCTTGCCGGTTCGGGGAAGATTGTATATCAGCAATTGCATAGCTTTAGCCAGCTCATTTAGCAGCATCTGAGATAGGAAGCTTTCTACCTATTTATCCATCCCAATAAGCTAAAACATATATATATTATTCACTCCCTTTTAGGATTGTATCAAGCAGCTGGATACATTTTGTTAGTGTTAGAAGTTTACTTGTTACATTTATGACTTCTAAACTCTAGTCACATAGAGGAGATCAAGACTCTTTTCTAGGGAGGATTCCCTGTCTGGCTGTTTGCTCAAACTTAGAGACTGATTTCAGAGATTTGGGGTTGAACTATTAGATTATATACCCAAAGAAAGGTTTACTATTTCTTTGGGTATTTCTTAAGATTATATATTGAAAAATTTTCCCATTCTTATGTTAAGCTACGATTTCTTTACTATATCTATCTCTCTGAAGGTCTCTACCGCCTTTCTAAAAGTATAGGAGGCTGGCTCAGTCTATTTAGTTTATATTTTTTCTCTTTCTTCTTTCATTTTCAGAAAGAGATATACTGAAGATATATATATTTATTAACCTTGAATATTTTTAGGATTATATATTGGGCTATCGCATGTAACAACATCGGGGAATTGATTTAGGTTTAGCATATAGCAACTTAATTAACTTTTCCCCTCTTTTGTTTTTTGTTTTTTCTTGGCTGCGCTCATCCTTGTAACCTAATGGTTAATGAATATTATGAATTCTATACTTTTCAAACAGAATAGAGAGATGGTTTGAGTCTCTTAAATTAATTAAATATATATATATATATATATATATATATATATATATATATATATATATATATATATATATATAGAGAGAGAGAGAGAGAGAGAGAGAGAGAGAGAGAGAGAGAGAGAGAGAGAGAGAGAGAGAGAGAGAGAGAGAGAGAGAGAGAGAGAGAGAGAGAGAGAGAGAGAGAGAGAGAGAGAGCTTTGTATTTACTACCTAGATTACTACAATCTCTGAAGGTATATCCCCCCAACTAGTGACCATATTTCTATTACTTTGACGGCTTAGGCTAACTTTATTCTCATTAACCTATACCCATTCATATTTACACTAGCAAGGATTTACTGAGGCTGCATCAAGCTTTTCCTTTTTAATTTCACCAGCACGTATGTGTATTGCACTATCACCACTTCTTCTACTTTCTATATAATTATATTATTATTTACATTACTACTACTTAATAAAGTTTTTATTTTTTTTTATTTTTATAGTGTGCCTCCTGAGTCGCCCTTACTGTTGTGGGTATCCCCTGGGTGGGGCATTAGAGGAACGGCAGTCTGCCCTTTACTCTCCTGACCCGCCAGGGTCTTCTTTCTTTTCTATATTTAATGTGGGGTTTATGACCTCTTTTACCCACATAGTCCTTCTGTGTTGCGGACTTTGGAGTCAAGTTGCTATTGACCCTTAAGTCTACATCTGTTTGTTTTGTGCCAGGAGCACACATATTCTAAACTCCCTACTGGGATTGTCTCTAAAACAAGTCATTGAGGAGCCAACTCGTAAAGAGGCCATACTAGATTTAGTGTTAACACATGGAGATTTGGTATCCG